CTGATGAGCTTTCTTTACGACCCGGTCAGTGTTTTTAACCCATTTCAGGTCATTAGACAGAGTTAAACCCAGAAACTTACACTCCTCTACAATCTGCACTTGGGAGTTATCGATTGCGACAGGCAAATGAGAACTATTGCGACTAAAATCAAAGACCAGTTCACATGTTTTGGATGCGTTCAGCTGGAGATTGTTTACTTTACTCCACTGAACCACGTTTTGGATCTCTGCTCTATAAGACGATTCATCGTTATTACTGATGAGACCGATGATGGTGGTGTCATCAGCATATTTAAGGATCAGGTTGGAGTCAGAGGAGGACACACAATCATGAATGTACAGTGTAAAAAGTAAAGGACTCAAAATACATCCCTGAGGAGATCCAGTGCTCACAGAAACAACATCTGAAAAACAGTCATTGATTTTCACTCTCTGAGATCTGTCAGTTAAAAAGCTATAGATCCATTTACACATGGCAACACTTAAACCGAGAGACATGAGCTTTTCAATCAGTATACCTGGGACAAGACAATTAAAAGCAGAGCTATAATCAATGAACAGCATTCTTGCAACAGATTTTCTATTGTCCAAGTGACTGTAGACAGAGTTCAGAGCAAAGGAGATGGCATCCTCCACACTCCTGTTCTGTCTGTAAGCAAACTGGAGCGGGTCAACGCTCACAGGGATCTGGCTCTTAATGAAGTCCAGCACAAGCCGCTCAAAAGTCTTCATTAGGACAGAAGTGAGGGCCACAGGACGATAGTCATTCAGGCATGTCACAGGAGTTTTCTTAGGAACTGGGATAATGGTCGACTCTTTGAAGCAGTTCGGCACAGTACAGTTCCTTAGCGACAGGTTAAAAATGTCTGTTAAAACAGGGGCAAGTTGCTCAGAGCACAGTTTCAGGACACGGGGTGGGATGCCGTCTGGGCCAGGGGCTTTCCGGACAATGGTGCTGGACAAGACCCGCTGGACTACCTCCTGAGTCACGGTGAACGCACCTTGATTGAGACAATCAGGAAAGACAGTAGGACAGGCATCGGCAGATTCGAAGCGGCAGTAGAACGAGTTCAGCTCGTTTGGCAGAGCTGGGCCAACAGATCCGATTTTCCCAGCACTAGGTTTCCAGGACGTGATGGCTTTAATACCGCTCCACATGCGGCGAGGGTCATCTTCCTTAAAATAACCCTTTAACCTGTCCCCGTAACTGCGCTTTGCAGATTTAATAGAACGTTTCAATGCGTAACAGGATAGCTTATAGGCAACTGTATCGTTAGATTGAAACGCCAGAACACGCTCATGAAGTTTGTTTCACTTCCGCGTTCATCCAAGGGTTTTGACTGAGATGTACTTTAATGACCTTCTGTGGGACACAGCAGTCAATACAGAAGCGTATGTATCCAGTCACAGCGTCACAGAATTCATTAACATCCTCTGACTGAAACACAGACCAGTCAGTGGCATCAAAACACCCTTGTAGCTTCATGCTAGCCTCCTCAGACCAACACTGCACAGTGCGTGAGGTTGGTTTATGTTCCCTGCTCCTCTGAGTGTATGAGGGAAGAAGGAGAACAGAGGAATGGTCGGACTTTCCAAATGGAGGTCTGAGACTGGACCTGTAAGCTCCCTTCACATTGCTGTAGCAGTGATCCAGAACATGTGCTCCTCTTGTAGCTCGAGTCACATGTTGGTAGAAATTTGGGAGTACAGTCTTTAAATTACATTTGTTAAAATCCCCAGCGACAATGATCACTGCATTAGGATGAGCAGTCTCGTATTTATGAAGGATCTCGCTCAGATCCTGTAGTGCTACAGTATAGTCCGCTCGTGGGTGGATGTAAACAGCGCATAAAAATATCACAGAAAACTCCCGCGGAAGATAAAAAGGGCGACAGCTAAAGACCAGGCATTCCAGATTGGCAGTACATGTTTGGTTCACGATGCGAGTATCCGTGCACCAGCGCTGATTAATTAAAAAGCACACACCTCCACCTCTGGATTTCCCCGTGGTCTCCTTTTCTCTGTCCGCGCGGTGAACGGTGAATCCCGGGGGCTGAACAGCAGAGTCCGGGACGTTCGTGTGGAGCCACGTCTCGCTGAGACAGAACACGGCGCAGTCTCGGGCCTCTCGCTGGCACTGGATACGACACAGGAGCTCGTCCGTCTTATTGGGCAGAGACTGTACATTCGCCAGGTAGATGGAGGGCAGAGCGGTCCTGCAGGAGCGGCATCTCACGAGCAGACCGCCTCGTTTTCCCCGGTGTCTGCGCGCCTCCTACGTCGGCTCCCGGTACCCAGCTCCACACCGCGGAGAGCACGGTGGAGACGCCCAGTCCCCCCGCTCTGTTCGCGGCCATTGCCGCGGCCCGCCTGCCATGTTTGACGGGCCTCACGAGTGGGGCACTCAATGAAGTCCAAGCACCTCAGTTCGGGTAAGACCTGCGATACTCCGCAAGCTCGGTCCCGAATGTAGAGAAGTGTCTCTCGGTCGTACCTCACGGTGGCAAGTGTATCACAGACGAATATAAACAACATAGAACAGACAGTGCACACCAGAGCTCTTACTGAGGCGCCCTGACCCGGCGCCATCTTGCTCACCAGTCACAAGCAAATGACTTGCTTGTGACTGGTGACTTGTCTGGAAATGTATTGAGAGTGCGGATGAAGAAGATTCGCCGTAATAACTATTCTTTATAAACTAAAGGAAAATTGTTTCACAAAGTGTTCAGAAAGTGTTTATTGTATACAAGTTGAATATTTTATGTGTACATAAGACAATCCTTTGAGTGTATTGTGTGTACACGATTAATTTGTTTAAAAATAATTATACATCAAAATTACAATTCTAAGAATTGTTTCTGTTTTTTGTCATAAGAAACTGTCATACATTGTAAAATATAATCCTAACACTTTTCTGCTTGAAAATTTGTGTTTCACACATGTTTTGGTCAGGAAACAGCATTTTGTGTGAAAGTTACCCATGTTGTACTCTCAATTGCTAAAAAACTAAAACGGATAGAAACGTACTTTTTTTTAACCTCTTTACATCCACCCGCCCGCCGGCGGGCAATTTTTATTTTAAAAATGTTCTGCTGGCAATAACAGATGCATTTTGAACATCAAACCCCAAAAGCTGTATATAATTTTAAAGCTTAGCTTCCCATCTACATTTATATACAAGTGTAAACTAGTGACCGAAGCGTAAACTTGTCTGATGTCAATAACAATTGTGCAGATTATTGTAGAATTACTTCTACGATCATCTTCCCTGCATTTTGGCTCTTATCTACATTTATATACAAGTGTAAACTACATCAGACTTCGCATTCAAAAGATATAACACATAATGTGGGCACAAAATAAGTCACTAAGGAAAACGTTTTTTACCTTTGGGCTTGTGCTGCATAAATCAGCTCTCCTCCCGGCTTCCTATGGCTCTTTCTCTCTGGAACAGTTCATTTAACAATAATATCCACTTGTATTTCCCAAAGTATAAGCCATTCTGGAGAAATAATCCAAAAATGTGCATTTATCTTTAGCGGGGAAAAAAAAGAGCACAGAGGCGGTTCTTTCACTGTTTATGGACTTTTAGCTTTGTTTTTCACCCAAACATCTGGTATCCACGTGTTCAGCTACTCCTTATCTTTCAAATGACACCTTCCATGAATCTCTACGAGTTAATTTGGGTCTGCAAAATCTCCCGTGAGTTGGACAAGCGGCTTCGTTTTGCGCATGGGGTCACTTCGCATTTGTTGCCATTAGACTGGTTTGCATAAACTTCTTGGCCGAAAGATTGACATGTCCGTGTAGCCAATGAGGAAAGCTTTCTATTAAGGGGTGGGACATATGTATACTGTGTTGGGTTGTCTCAGTAGAAGGCTGCATAGTGGAAACAAACACTTTGAAAAAATGTTTTAAAAAAATTACATAGATTAGTAACTTAAGTATCAAAAATAAAACTATGGTTTTTATGATAATGAAAGGTCAGTAAAGCAATTCGGCACAATTGTGCCAAATTGTGCCAAATGGCACAACTTGATAAAAGGAGAAACTGCATAAAAACTATAAAACTTAGAAGTCTGAAACTTTAGACAGTTGTCAACAAAATGAACATAGGGTTTGAATATTGTGAACTTACAATGAAGTATGCCTTTTTTTAGGGCCTTTAGAAATTGAAAATTTTAGGCGAGGCTAAAAAAATAGTTTTTTTCCCCAAACTTCAAAGGATGTAGAGTGAAATAGGAATGACAAACATTATTTTAGTGTATATTCACATAAACTAGAAGGCTCTAGCTTTAAAATGATGCATCATACAAGCATGTGAGATGTAAGATGTGGTTTTAAATAAGCAAAGACATTTGGGTATGCCCAACTTTTGTGCACAAGCCAAAATGAGGCGGGTGTTAAGAGGTTAATTTGAAAGGCAAGAGAGAGAAAGAGACAGAGCTTTCATTTGGTATGTTTCATACTTGTGTCAACCAAGGCCTCACAATTATGAGCTTTGGAAAAACACTAAAAATGTATCCAAAATCTCTGGCAGTATGAGGGATGCTGCTTTATATATGGCTGGCAGTGAATGAGTGAATGAATTTACCCTCAAGTAAAGCCAGTCTGTGCCTCTGGCACAGATTTATCCCTTTTCGGGAACGTGCCGTCTCAGTGCAATCATTTCATTGTGCTACAGAAGGAGAAAAGCCATTCCGTGCCTCCGGATGCCCAGGTGTTACTCGTAGGGAAAGCAATAGGCCCTTACCACAGTTGGGGCTCGGGCCTAAAAATATTGGTTATCGGCCATAACAGAAAAATGTATATTGATATCGCCCAACATTCCCATTTTGGTGCATCCCTAAATACCCACCAATGCAAAACATGTTCACACTTGGAAGCCCAAGCCAGAATAAAATTGAAGCTTCCTTTGTTAAAATAATTTATTGCTTTGCTGATTTGTAACTGATTGTCTTGTTATGAGCCAAAAAGAAAGAAAAGAAAAGTTCACTCACTTGAAGAACATCTTGCTGCTCAAGCTGTTGAACGAGACTTTATGAGAGTTATGCGGGCCGTGCAAAGGCATCTGTGGTAAAGAGATCACAGGGTCAGTCAAAGTTTATGCAGTAGAGTTCAGGACAATCATAATTCTCGCCTTGGTTTCGGTGAGGCGGGTCTTGAAGTGCTTCAGGAGACTGTCAATAACCTCTTGATCTTCTCGTTTGCGCTCTTGCAGCGACGAACTAATGGAGTTGCTCACGTATGTCCCCTCCACCTTGTCTTTGTATACAGACATTAGCATCTCGTGATTTTGCTGAAAGTAAGAACACGCAGAAAAGTCAGACCGTAGGCGCTCTCAATTCTAATCCAATTCTTGACACTTTTTTGAGCCAAAATGCAGGGAAGATGATCGTAGAAGTAATTCTACAATAATCTGCACAATTATTTGTTATTGACATCAGACAAAGACATTTAGCTTGGCTTTCTGATGATTTGTTGTTACATGCAGGCATGTCAAACTCAAGCTCGTGGGCCAAATCCGGCCCGCTAGACAATTTTTAGTGGACCCTAACTTATTATTAGCTTGCGTAATGTTATTTTATTCTAAAATGTTATTGTTCATTAGAAGTTAAATAGTTAAATATAAAACAATGTTCAACTTTTATTTGCACCAGTTTTAGTTCAATCCAAAGAATAAAACATGTTTCTTTCATCCATCCATTCATCTTTTTCCCCTTAATCATTAACTGGGTCAGGGGGTGGCAGTCAAAGCTGCACCCAGTACACTTAGCACCAGCCCCTCACTGATCCTCCTGCAGGTGGTGATTCCACAAGCGCCTTGATCTTTCAGCAGGGGCTTCAGGAAAAGTGGGGTTAAGAGTCTTGCCCAAGGACACAACGACAGCAGTCATCAGTGAGAGTCGTGAAGTGGGTCTTGTGGTGGGCTCAAACCCACGACCTTCAGGCCCGAAGGCCAATGCTCTACCAACTGAGCCACTGTCGCCCATTTCAGAATCAAACCCAAAAATGGTGAATCTCATGTCAAATAAAAGGTCAAAATACCTTCATAATGGAAAAAAAAAGGAAATCCCCTCTATTATTTTGGCCCCTGAGCAAAAGGCTGCTGTAATGTGACTACAGTAATGGCACCTGACAGGATTATTTAGAACTGTAAGTAAAGCATGTTTTGCCCTTCATCGGTGTTCAAGAATTATCCTTTACCTTGGACTCAAAACTCTCGTCCACTATATCAGCATGTCCCTCCTGCACCAGGATGTCCCGCACATTTGACTGTAGGGTGTCTGTGCTGATGAGCAACTCCACTCGCATCACTCCATGAAGGATGGAGTAGAGAGACACGATTAAGGAGGTGCCCTTTACCAAAGTGAAAAAGCGGTCGCGGGATGTGCTACTCCATGGATTGCCTTTAATTATTGACTGGGCAGAGGGCCGCATTCCTATGATCTGGAACTCTTGGGCCTGATGGGAAATGCATATGTAAGAAATATGTATGAACAGAATTTAACGCCGTCACCTGAGGTTGTACCTGAAATGGTTCTGACAGGAGGTCAGGGGGTAGCTCTCTGAGGCTGCTGCAAGGAACCTCTAGTGTGTTTCCAAAGTCCAGGAAGAACACCTTCAAAGTCATTGATAACATTAAGACATTTTAAAAACATATATTTTTTTAGAACCTGCACAATACACATTTTACATATATCAATATTACAGACAAATAACATATCTGGTTCGAAAAGGGGTTGGATGAAGCAAATTATTATTTGATTCCAACCCCCATCACATATACAGTTTTAAAGGTTCCATATTGCACTTTCACAGTCCATTCTAAGCACATGTGATAATAATTTGAGTGATACACCATACAGCAATCAAAACATGTGAGATTTTGGCCATCTCTTGCATAGGGGTGATGTCACCTCAACTCAAACGAGCTGATCCAGAGAGGAGTTTGCTCCTCTGCCTGTGAGCCCGTCTCCGCCCGCCCGCACAGTAACTCGCAGTGATATTAAATTCAAGTTGTACATAGTTGGTGGCAATGGGAAGCCGTAACATCAAGCCCTATGTCCTCAATCTACAATCAGACCCTAATTATTTAGTTTGCAGAAGTATACTGTACTCACAGAGCGGGCATTTCATTAGTGTCTTTTATTGTTGTCGAATAAAACTGGTTTCTAGATCAGCTTTTGAATAAGTCCAGTTTCAAGGTAACTGCAGTTCTGGAACAGTCTTAGTGAAGTTTCACAAATGCACTTTTAGTCACTGACAAAAGCAGAAAAACACTATAGGTCTATGTGAACGCAGAACCAGACATACGCTGGACTCAGAGCTGGCCATGTGCGCTTATTAGCTTTTGTCAATCACCTCCTGGATATTAGTATCATTATTATGATTTTTGACAACAAACAGCATACTTATCGTTTTCCCTGTTTTGACAATAGCATTTAAGAACCATTAAAAAAAAAAAAAGCGGGCTTCAGCAAGTCATATTTGTTATTGTTTTGCAGCCTCCCCAGGCACTCTGGGCATGTGTATGAAGGCTGAATAGCACTGTAATCATGTTTGAAGCAGAGAAAAGTCAAAAAGTGTAATAGGGCACCTATTAAATTTATTACACCTATCACGAACAGTAATACCACAACACACACACTCTGAGAACACACAGGCCCAAACACTCTCCGATCCTATCTCACTACTTTCTCTGTGCTCAAGGCATCACTTTCTTTCGTCCTCATATTTCTCCGATACATATTTTTTAAACGTTCTTTTTGACGTTTCAAACGTCTAATAAACAGGCCATACCTGGGCATTGTTCCCACGCAAGTGCAGGATCTTGGCTCGATAGAACATGCTCTGGTCGTTGACCTCAGAGTATGGGGCCAAACAGATAAGGTTGGAGTACAGAGACACTGACACCGGCTGCAGAGAGCGGTTGTTTATCTCTGAAGTCATGTGACGCTGCTTCTTCAGACTGGCTTCATCTGCATGGAAGGCCCAGAAGTGACCCACCTCCACCACCTGAGACCAATGCATCCAGACCAGTCAGACAAACCATAATCATTCTGGACTTAATAAGTATATTATTTATTAAGTTGAAAACTGACCTCTGTGATGCTCACAACAAACATGCGGGTTGTTGGGATCTTCTCCAGTTCAATGTCACCACTTAAAAGACCTGTGGGAGACACGGTTTGGGTCTGGAAGTCCGCAATGACCCTACACAACAACAGCAAATTAATTTTTTTACTTTAAGTAAAAAACAATTGTGTTACAGTTAGTAAGTGAGACAAGCCTAAAATAGAACTACTGTATACTAGGTCTGCAACAACGAATCGATAAAATTGATCATTTAAATTGTTGGCAACAAATTTCATTATCAATTTGTTGTGTCGCGCGATTAAAGCGTCACCCACTACGTCGCGGAGCCATGGATCTGCACGAAGCTCACATGAGTTGGGCATATTCTTGTACAGCTGTGTTCAGACTTTATTTATATAATGCACAAAGATAGTGACTTCTGATTAATTCTAATTCACTGTGGCATTAGCAGCGCACACACTTGTCTGCTCCTTCTCGCTAGCTCACACACACACACACATCTGCTCCTCTGCTTGCACAGCTCACACACACACACATCTCGCTAGGTGTAGCAATGCTTAGTCTCTTTCCTACTATCTGAATCACTTCAGATTTAGATCCATGATTTAGACAGTAGACACCGCTTAAATTATTAGACAGCTCCGTAAAGTCTCCAAAGGACCCATAAAAGGATCTCTCAGCGCCTGTTTACAAATGGTTGAAAATTTGACATGTACTAGTCATAATGTACTTTCGGTGCATCTCTAAAATATACCTATTTTTGTGCACTTTACTTTTCAAAAAGCCAATATTTGCATAGCTTACATTTGCATGTTTTTTTGTTTAGGTCGTTGGCCATGTTTGTGAACAAAGGGATGGACATTTTTATTTTTTTATCAGATTAATCAAAGAAATAATCGACAGATTAATCGATTATTAAAATCATCGTTAGTTGCAGCCCTACTGTATACTTAATTCTCTGTTCTTTAGCAGTCTTTGTACTCCACCAGAGAGGTTTCTAAAAGGCTGGTTTTTTTACAAAGTATAATTCAGGGACAACACACACCATCTGTAACGTAAATAGTGAGTCCACTACATTAAAGCTACTCTGGGATTAGCAGTGTTAGTGATAGTTAATTGTGGAGGTGAGTGGAGATTTTAAACTGTTAAATTGCATTAGTGATAGTACCGTCCATGTTTGAGGTGAGTGATATTCCGGTGACCAGCACACACTTCTATATCCTGAATCCGGTACACCGACAGTTGCAGGGCTGGACTCTGCTGGGACAGGAGGAGGGCCAGGGACACATCAGGCAGCACGCCAGAGTTTTTAGGATGTCTGTAAAACTCCACATACGCCCTGAAACACATTCACTCATTTTCAGACTGAGGAAGAACATACTTTACTCTACAGCGTTTCCACTGGTTCTGGTTAGAAGGTACAGGGTACATTATTTTTGTACCACCTTGGCCCTGGTTCAAAAGCTAGTTCTTAATGACAGTATTGGCCAGAGTACTGCTAGAAGCCATGGTTGCCAAGGCACTTCCAGTATACTGGTTTTGTTGTGGGTAATAGGTTTCTAAGATGCGGTAACAGACACCTGCCAATTAGAACTGCACATTAATTCCTTGCTGAAGATGCACTTTTTCTGTGCTTGAAGGGACGTCGCAGCAACCCATGATCCGGTCTGAAAGCCCCATAGGACCGAGTAAGACTGGTGGAAATGAGGCTATTGACCACATACCTGGAACTGTCAAAGGAAATGGCTTTAACTAGGCCACACTGTCGGAAGAGGGACTGCAGCTGTTTGTAGTAGAGAAAACTGTACGGGGGGAGATTTCTCACCTGAAATCATTTGAATAAAGTTATTTGGATAAGATCAACGACAATAAAAAGAACAATCATGAAAAGTATTTACCATCACTGTGGTTCTGGGGGATAAGCCACACAGCTCTCTTGAGAGAAGGTCTTCATCAACCTCTCCTTGAAGAAAATAGTTGGGATAGTATGCACCAGCAATTACAACCTGTTGGCGCAAAGTAGGGTAAGCAAGGTTTAAGGTAGGATTAGGTCGGTTTAAGAAAAAAAAGGTTAAAAAAAAAAAATAATAGGTACCATACACTTTCATTTATTCTACATTAAAAAAAATGGTGTGCAGCTCACCAAGAGGATAAACTTCTGCTGGTTTGAGCTGGTGAAGTCCAGAGGCTGGCTGCTCTCAGCGATGTGCATGTTGAACTGTGACACACGCTTCTTCAGGTCTTCAAACAGCTCAGCCACCTCAACACAGTTCAATCAATCAATCATTCATTTGTATAGAACCTGCAAACTCCCCTCAAAAAGGCCCTGTTCCGACCGGGATTCGAACCCAGGACCATCTTGCTGAGAAGCGAAAGTGTTATCCACTCAGCCACTGTGCCGCCACGGTGTATCGCACAATTTGTAAACAAGGCAATTCAAAGTGCTTCACAAGAGCAATTTAAAAACAAATCAGAATGCATTAAGTCAATAACAATTTCATATTGAAACAGTAGCATAAAAGCTTGGGGTTTTAAGTATTTTAAAAACAAAAATAAAAGCAATAAATAGTACAAAATAGAATCAGCAGTAAGAACTTCTAAACAGATATGCTTTCAACCTAGTTTTGAACATGGTCAGGTTAGAGGCAGGTGCATGGATCTGAAACACCGCCTCCCCATGTTTTTCCTGACTCTGGGCACCAGAAGGAGGCCGGTCCCTGTGCTTCCGAGAGTCCGAATTGGTTCATATGGCACACTACTCCTTATCGTTTTGGCTAGGAAAATGACCTGATGGCAACTGTCCATAATCATAGTTTTTGTGACTAGATAAAAACCAGGAGAGATTTCAACTTGAAATGCTTATATTGTTCTAATCATCTAATAAACAAAAGCATTAAGAAGAATACATTTTGGCAGGAAAAATACTAGTGTGCACCAGCTCTCACTCAATGAAGCAAAGGTTAGAATGTTAGTACCTCTCTGATTCTTTTGATCTGAATGAAGTTCTCTTTTCCCCAGTCCAGCTCATCCTGAAACAACACAATATTATAAGTATATATTTATGTTTATATACACACAAACAAACGTTCCTTGCCTATATGATGTCAGTAAAATGTGTTTTATGTTCAATACCTTAGGGTGTCTGAGTTGCCCTTTCTTTTTGGTAGTATACCAGGCCTGGGGGAATGATAAAGTTCAGCAAAGTTATGGATGATGTTGAAGGACTTTTTGACTTTACCTTGAAAGCGTTAAGAGCAGCAATAGAATCACTTGGCGTCCCACGAGCAAAAGACATCTTGCTCCTGCGTAAACAGATACAATTATATTGGAAACTTCAAATCATTGCTTGCCTAATAATTTCCATCACACTGACCTGTGGCCAGCAAGTTTTTGCATGGACGGTATTGCAAAGAAGCTTTTCAGAGACTGGGAGGCGGCTGGAGACATGAAAGGACATCAAAGAACATAGACCGGTCGCACTGACATTAGTATTGAGTACTGACCAATGATGAGACATTCTTCCAAACATCCAAAGACATGTCCCAGGACTATCATTTTCCCCAAGTGCAGGTCAACGGGAAGGTGAGCGAGGACACGGCCCAAGAAAGTCAACTGCCCGTCTTCATTTTGACGACAGGTCTCACTTTCAGTTGACAACACTCCCATCTATGAGAAACGCATGAATGTCTGAATCCTCTTAAACCCAGTAGTGAGAGTAAAGACTGTTCCCTTTTGTGTGGCACCTCCTTCAGCTGCAGTACAGTCCTCACGATGTCGTCATAGTTTGGAGGTGAGAGAGCAGTGGACAGAACGGAGCGAGGATCACCCATGTCCAGGAGTTTCACCTTTAGCAAGATCCTCGCCAGCGGTGCAAGCTGAGAGAAAATAACATCTAGTTTGACTCATTTTGAAAAATAGTGTAGAATTAATCCGGGCACGTCCCACCCGGAGGAGACCCCTGGGAAGACCCCGGATACGCTGGAAGGACTATGTCTCCCCCCCCCCAGATGAGCTGGAGGAAGTGTGTGTGGATAGGGAAGTCTGGGCGTCTCTGCTCAGACTGCTGCCCCGGTGACCTGGCAATGGATGAAGCGAAAGAAAATGGATGGATGGAAGTCTCACCAACAACTCAGGAATCATGTAATCTGGAATATCTTTCTTCCAGAATTCGCGGGTCACCAGGCGATAGCAGAAGCCTTTTGACACCCTGCCAGCACGACCTACACACAAAAGACTGCTTGAAAAGAAGACATGGGACATGACCATTATATTCTGACCTAAGCACCTCTTTTCATCGTCATTATTGACCCTTACACATCGATCGCTCAAACATTAATCACTAATGCAAATGAAGCCTTTCACACACAGTTCAGATCCCTCAATACACAGCAGTGCTGAGCATGTGAAAAACTTTGACCAGCTTTGTCGTTTGTTAATGTTTGTCATCACAAAAGGAAAGACTTAATACTGGTAAATGTACATTTTTGCTAGATACAATGTTAATATTATTCATGACATAAATAACGCTCTAACTCGTATCATGGGTCATAGCTGACCCAGAATACTAAAACAGACAGACTTTTAGAAGCAAGAGCACTCAGTAAATTTACCTTTTCGCTGATTGCAGTTTGTTTTGGAGGCCCAGGTTAAACGCAAGGACTGATAATTAGTGTCAGGATCACAAACCAGGTGACGAGCCAGACAGAAGTCAATAACTACAACAAAGTATTAGAATAATATAAAACAATTATAACAGTGGGAATGTGTGAACTCACCATATCTAACATCTGGAACAGTGACTGAACTCTCAGCAATATTTGTAGACAAGATGACCTGACAGATCCATCAACAGCATTAAACACATACGTGAACATGATGCAATTATTGCCCTCCTACTTACCTTCCTGTAGCCTGGCACAGGAGACAAAAACACCCCATTCTGTTCTTCCAGAGTCACCGTGGAGTGCAGAGGGTACACCTGCAGCCTGAGTGAAAGTCACAGTGGACACCAGCTTCATAAAGACATGTCCAAAATCAAGGGAAAAAACAAAGGAAGCACACCTTTTGTGGACCAGCTTGGACAACGCCTCTTGCATGTAGCATATTTCATAGAATCCAGGAAGAAAAACCAGAACACTGCCTTGCTGTCTGGAGGTTCCTATGGATTCCCTTTTGCTGCCAAACACACACATTTCATATATATTTTCAGAGCTCAAGTGGTGAAAAGATGGTACCTGCTGTCTTTTTCCTCAACTTCATCAAAACTCTGGATGAGGTTAATGGCAAGGTTGTACATGTCTATGGAGATGTCAGGATCATCTGGGTGAGGGAAAGCCTAGAGAACATATTGCGTTAGTGTTGGAGAAGAACAGGACCGAGTACAGTCTGAGACAAACGTACTCTGCAATGGAACAGGGGCTGGAGGTCCTCTAAATAAAACTCCTCAATAGCATAAGGAGCACCCTCCACTTCAAACACATAGGCTGGGATCATTTTTCCTCGGACTGGGACACCAAAGTATTCAGAAAACTCTTGGCAGTTAATGGTGGCAGACATGAGGATGATCTGTCAAAAGAATTCAAGTGAAAACTGAAATAATGCTTCCAAAATAACATGACCTCTTCAGCAATCACCTTTACATGACGAGAGTTTGAGTGCAGGAGTTTTCTTAAGACCAGGAGGAGAAAGTCCATCTCCTCAGTCCGCTCATGGACCTATTACAGACATAAAGCTCGCAGTTAGGTTATTTAATATTGTCCAATTGTGCCGCTGGGGGAACCCTCAGTTTAATAAATTGTATTAAACTGAATAAAATAAAAGCCATGGTGATTATACTTCACCTCATCCACAAAGATGTGGGAATACTCTGTGAGACACTTTGCTCCAACGAGCTTTTGTAGAAGAACCCCAGTGGTCATGTAGATCAGACGAGTGTGTTCTGTGGCCATCTTCTCCAGTCCCACCTGACAAAATCCATTTCAAGTGTTCATACATTTCACAGGTGTGCAGTAAAACACTTTAATATGGCTGAACAGAAAAACTTAGTCATATTTTTTCCACAAGATGTTTGTATCAGGAGTGTCCAAACTTGTCCTCAAGGACCAGCGTGGCTGCAGGTTTTCCATCAGACCAAGCTGGAGTGGGGCAGACTCCACCCATTTCCTCAAATCTTCATGTTAAGACTGAACTCACTTGAGGAAATGGATTAGGTCTGCTCTGCTCCTGCTTGGTCTTGCATCCACACCGGCCAATTCTGAACCCGATTGGACATCCTTAGTTGCTTCTGTAAATTCTAATGTATTAATACTAAGCACACTTCTAAAAAGGGTAGGCACAATAAGCAGTAGCTTCAGCCCACACTGTTTGTCTTTCTGCTGTAATGTTACTGTCCTGTAATGACGCTTATAAATGTGTAAGTGAATGAAATTAAACTTAATTCAATAAGAAAATAAATCAACTGTTACAATTCTTGCATGCATAATCAATTAATGACTAAAATGACACATGAATCAATAACAAACCTGATAGCCAACGAGACTGCCTAAAGTACACTTCCTCTGAGAAGCCACCCATCGGGCAATGCTTGAGGCTCCTATCTTCCGAGGCTGGGTGACCACAATGTTGCAAGGGGCGTTCTTCTCATTGTAGTGGTCTAAAATGTATTGTGGAACCTGGGTGGTTTTGCCGCTGCCTGTGGCTCCTCGAATGATCACCACAGAATTGTTTTCTATGAGGGATACAAGCTGGGACACAAGGCAGAACATGGGGAGAAAACTCAACACAAAGACTGTTATTCTTGTTGATTCTTTACTCTTTATTAACGACTTTGTCGACATTATGAAAAAAAATAAATGCTGTGACGTCTTATAAGTGTACCTACATTAATTGAGTGATCAACACCAACTAATCATTTGTTCTTTGGGAAAAAGACAAAAATCCTATTAATCTTTCAAATGAGGTCATCGATATGGACAATTGAATAATTATTGAGGAATAATACTAACAAATGCAATACAAACAGGGTCATGTGACACATATGGCTGGCCCTTCTGAAAAGGTTTTGCACATTGCATCTATTGCTTGCTTGCAATCACGTGACGCATAAACTTCCGGTTGACAAAGTGGTGGTCAGGCCAGCAAGAGTTGCTGCTGATATATGAAGAAAATGCGACTCTTTTGCTTTTTTGGATATTTCATGACACTTTGAAGCTACTGTGGTGAACGTTCTAACTCATCATTCTAACAATATGCACAAGGCAGAATTTTTCCACACGTTTTGGTAATATCAAGGTTGAAGCTGCTGGCACCACGGCAAATGCTAACATGCTAATAATGCTAATAAGTCTCCATTCCTCCGCTGTATGTCACTTACGTTCTGTAACGTCTTTGTTTATGCTGCCTCTACCATCGACAATAAAACATGTCTTCTGTCTGAATTAAAGACAAGATCCTAGACTGTCATTTTATTCACTTTAGATTCTAATCCACAGCTAGTGTTACAATCAAGCTTTTGCACTGCTAAACAAATGAAGGTTTGGATAAACACGGATACTGCAACTTTTCCGTCCGTCTGTGGGTTTAAGAACTCAGAGTTGAGGTCCTGAAGGACAAATCCTGCATCGTACAGAGCCGTGTAAGTAACGATTGGTGAATGAACTTCATCGTGAATCATTCTCAACAAAACACTGAGTCTGTGTTCTTTTCAGGTCAAACATTCACAGTGTTTATTTAAAACGCCGACTCATACCTTTGTAAATTATGGTGGAAAATAAGTATTTGGTCACTTCAAACAAGGAAGATCTCTGGCTCTCACAGACCTGTAACTTCTTTAAAGTGATTGTCTGCAGTTTGTCAGAAAGAGAGAGAGGTACTTGATTTGAAAAAAACAACGCAAGCTCCCTCCCCCTTCCTTTGTGATTGGTCTACACCTACGTTTCCGTAACACTTTTAAATGTTAATCAGAGAACACATTATACATATACATTATTAATACACATGCACGGAGGTTTTCAGAATTATTTGTTAACGTTTTAATGAAAAACATTTCTTTATGCACAAAAAAAGGCGATCGCTGCAAACCCGGAAGAAGCTATTATCATGAATTGCAAATTATAGGACACATCTGCAGAGGATCTGATTATGGATATAGGTTCAGAATATAAATGGGTAACTCATTTATATACCGAGTTACCCAGTATAACTTCACTTACGCTCTGAAGTTGCAGAGCCTAAGAGGCTTGATTCGGAAGTTCCTCAAAAACAAACAACTGAGCATGCGCGCAGCTACGAGCCTCAGCGCAGATGATTGACAGCCCTTGGCATGACTCGACTGGTTAACGTGGACGGCATCGTGGATTCTGAGCTATAGCTAAGAGAAGGGAAGGACGGTCTTGCCCGTAATATTTGGATTAAAAAATAACTTATTTTATATCAACATTTAAGGCCAGGAAGTTAATTTAACACATTTCCTAACATTTGTCATTCATTTAGAGTTACAGACCATCACTTTAAGAAGCTCTTCTGTCCTCCACTCGTTACCTGTATTAATCTGGCACCTGTTTGAACTCGTTATCTGTATAAAAGACACCTGACCACAGCCTCAAACAGTCAGACTCCAAACTCCACTATGGCAGGGGTTAAAGCAAAAACAAAAAGATTTTACTGAACATTTTCTCATGGAAATTTATCACATGTAAATCAGTCATATGCAGGATCAAGTTATATTTTTAATTACAATATATTATTCTAAAATAGATATTGTATATTGTATACAGATCAAATGAATTCTTCAAAGATATACAGGTGTATTTTGATGTGAAATTACAACAAGTGGATCAAGCAGAATATTAGTGAGAGTAGTTGCATCCGCAAGATGGAGCGTCGACACTTTGGCTCTGTCCTCGTCAAAATATCGCAAAAGGACATTCAACATTCTGTCCATATTTGTTTGTGGACTCGTCAATGTTTAAGAAAAAGGTGTCCCTATCAGCTCTCTGATCTACCAGTGGTAGTGATTGTTATGGAAATTCCAATGCTTCAAATGAATAAATCCGAGAGGAAACAGAACTTGTCTTTTGTGCAGTTTATTTACAGAAGTGATGAGTACAAAAATGACATTTCTGCGCAGAAAGAGACAGACAGAAACGGCGTCCAATGATGCCGTGTCTCTCTGGCCTCTCAACAAGCGTGTTGATAATTTTATACTGGAGGTGTGTCAGACGGAACAATGAGCATTCGTCACAAGAGAGATGAGTCATACGCAGCTGCAGACGAGAAAGTTTGGGAGAGATACATTAAGCGCAGGAAAAGACCTTCGAGATGATAAGAAAGCACACGGCGTGAGCACATTTGAGATAACGCACCTGCAGATGGTGGCCAAGGCTATCACTGAACAAGAGAGCCTTTGTGCGATGTACCAACAGTGCTGGGAACGCAGTTTCTAACGCTGGGAACCAAGACACATGTATCGACCAATGATTAGAATTGTCCGATGCCGGGAACTGACCATAACATGATATTCTGAATGACAGGTTATTTTCTGCGATAAAGCCACAGACTCTGTCCGCCAGAGCAAGCCTAGTCTCAGTTGTCGCTGATGCAACAGGTAAAGATGAAGTGTGGGAAAGGGCATGAACAGCTGCCTCGTGCGCAGTTTCGAGCTGGTGGCGAATCAAAACTTTTTTCTCATTACTCCCATATACAGTTTTTTAATGGCGAAGTACGAACAAGCACCGGCCACCTTCATCTTTTGGCACCATGACCGCAACCGAATCCTATCGTCTCCCACCTCATCCAGCCATGCCCACCTCCATTTATTTTTCACTCCGTAGTCAATTGGAACTTGTGCTTCTTCCATAAACAACAAATCCATGATTGTGATGGTGCGTGCATGCTAGGCTAGCTTTGATAAATGAATATAAGACGCGCTGACAGACTACACCTTACTTCAGCGAGTGGGGTGGTGGTCCCTCTCTACAAGAAGGGGGACTGGAGGGTGTGTTCCAATTATCGTGGGATCACACTCCTCAGCCTCCCTGGTAAGGTTTACTCCAAGGTTCTGGAGAGGAGGCTACGGCCGATGGTCGAATCTCTGATTCAGGAGGAGCAGCGTGGTTTTCGTCCTGGCCGCGGAACACTGGACCAGCTTTAAACTCTCCATCGGATACTCGAGGGTTCATGGGAGTTTGCCCAACTTGTCCACATGTGCTTTGTGGATTTGGAGAAGGCGTGCGACCGTGTTCCCCGGGGTGTTCTTTGGGGGGGGTTCTCCGGGAGTACGGGGTCCGGTCCCTGTATGACCGGAGCCAGAGCTGTGTTCGCATTGCCGGCAGTAAGTCAGACCTGTTCCCGTGCATGTTGGCCTCCGCCAGGGCTGCCCTTTGTCACCGGTTCTGTTCACTGTAATCATGGACAGAATTTCTAGGCGCAGCCAAGGGCCCGAGGGGGTCCGGTTCGGGGTCCACAGGATTTCATCTCTGCTGTTTGCGGACCATGTTGACCTGTTGGCTCCAACGAACCAGGACCTGCAACATGCACTGGGACGGTTTGCAGCAGAGTGTGAAGCGGCTGGGATGAGAATCAGCACCTCTAAATCTGAGGCCATGGTGCTCGACCGGAAAAAGGTGCCTTGCCCTCTTCAGGTGGGTGGAGAGGTCCTTCCTCAAGTGGAGGAGTTCAAGTATCTCGGGGTCTTGTTCACGAGTGAGGGAAGGATGGAGCGTGAGATTGACAGGCGGATCGGTGCAGCGTGCGCAATGATGCGGTCGCTGTATCGGTCTTTACCGTTGTAAAGAGGGAGCTGAGCCGAAAGGCAAAGCTCTCGATTTACCGGTCAATCTTTGTTCCCTCCTTCACCTATGGTCCTGAGCTGTGGGTAATGACCGAAAGAACCAGATCGCGGATACAAGCGGTCGAAATGAGCTTCCTCCGCAGAGTGGCTGGGTGCTCCCTTAGAGATAGGGTGAGGAGCTCAGTCACACGGGAGGAGCTCGGAGTAGAGCCGCTGCTACTCCACGTCGAGAGGAACCAGTTGAGGTGGCTCGGGCATCTGTTCCGGATGCCTCCTGTACGCCTCCCTGGGGAGGTGTTCCAGGCATGTTCCACCGGGAGGAGGCCCCGGGGAAGACCCAGGACACGCTGGAGGGACTATGTCTCTCAGCTGGCCTGGGAACGCCTTGGGGTCCCCCCGGACGAGCTGGAGGAGGTGTGTGTGGATAGGGAAGTCTGGGCGTCTCTGCTTAGACTGCTGCCCCCGCGACCCGGCAACGGATGAAGCGGAAGAAAACGGACGGACGGATATATTTTTCTTCTAGACCAATTTCATTTGACGGAAATCCGTCACCTAGACGGAACTCTTTAATCCCTGCACTATGGCCAAGACCAAAGAGCTATCGAAGGACGCCAGGAAAAGAATTGTAGACTATTGTGGGAACAAATCAACTGTGGGAGACATACAAGACCACTGATAATCTCCCTCGATCTGGGGCTCCGCGCAAGATCTCACCCCGTGGGGTCAAAATGATCATGAGAACGGTGATCAAAAACCCAGAACCACACGGGGGGACCCTGGTGAATGATCTGCAGAGAGCTCGGACCAAAGTAACAAAGGTTACCATCAGTAACACACTACAACGACAGGGAATCAAATCCTGCAGTGCCAGACGTGTCCCCCTGCTGAAGCCAGTGCATGTCCAGGCCCGTCTGAAGTTTGCCAGAGAGCACATGGATGATACAGCAGAGGATTAGGAGAATGCCATGTGGTCAGATGAAACTGTTTGGTATAAACTCAACGTGTCATGTTTGGAGAAAGAAGTATACTGAGTTGCATCCCAAGAACACCTTACCTACTGTGAAGGGTCTCCGTAAGAAGCATTTGAAAGTCCTGGAGTGGCCTAGCCGGTCTCAAGACCTCAACCCCATTGAAAATCTGTGGAGGGAGTTGAAAGTCCGTATTGCTCGGCGACAGCCCCAAAACATCACTGCTCTCGAGAAGATCTGCATGGAGGAATGGGCCAAAATACCAGCTACTGTGTGTGCAAACATGGTAAAGACCTATAGTAATCGTTTGACCTCTGTTATTGCCAACAAAGGTTATTACAAAGTATTGAGTTGAATTTTTGTTATGGACCAAATACTTATTTTCCACCATAATTTACAAATACATTCTTTAAAAATCCTACAATGTGAATTCCTGGATTTTTTTCACATTCTGTTTCTCACAGTTGAAGTGTACCTATGATGAAAATTACAGACCTCTGTCATTATTTTAAGTGGGAGAACTTGGACAATAATCAATCATCATTTCACTGCATGTAGCGTCTGGGTCTGGTCCCTGTGTTAACGAATACAATCGGTCGTATTTCGACCGGCTACTCAGAGAGCGCGTTGTACATCGGTGCCGGTGACGTCAAGAGTTTGCGCCGAACGGGCAGGTTGTAGTTTGGCAGTGGCGAAGAATGCGATAGAACCAGACCGGATTACTTTACTATCAAGAAATTGAAGCAGGAGCAAGAGGAATGTTTAGCAAATGTAATCGCTGGTCAAGATTGTGGCACTACTCCCCACGGGCTCCGTTAGCGGCAAAGGAGATGGCTAGGCTAAATGCTAAATGCTAACAACTCACTCGGGCGCACTATATACGTCACTGTAAACTCAGATCCAATCGTTTCAATCTGCAAAAGGAGTTAACCCCTCCCACCTGTTCACGGAGCTCAATGGAGCAAATCCAGACCTTAGTATGAAATGAAATTTGTACTAAGGTGTGGTATAACCAGGCTAGACAATCGGTGGCTGACTAAATACTTTTTTTGCCCCACTGTATACTGATGCGGCAGGAGGTTGCGGGGTCCGCGCTGAGCCTCCGCGCTGGTCTCTCCCGTGGATCTATTACGGGTCTGCGCTGACCATCAGTCTATGGTCACTCCTCAGGTCTGCAATGGTCTTCTCCCAGGGTCTAAAATATTTTGAGACTAATCTAAAAATATTTTTCAATTAATCTCATAATACCACACAGGCTGAGGGGGAGGGGGGTAGAGGGGGGCGAAAGCTCCGTGCGGGGAGGGCGAGCAGAAAGAACGAGCTCAGCGCTCACGTTCGAAAATTTCAAAAAGTCAGTTAGTGCAGCTTTATGAAGAGATTTAAGAAGATTAAGATATTGGTGAATGAGGCCCAATGTAAGGAGAAATATTTACCCTTTTATCCTGTGGTAACACATGAGATTCCATATTTACCTCATATCTTTTCTTTTTGACTGGCAGACTGGGGTACTCGTAGGTGGCCAAAGTAGGAGGTGTATCGTCTGATGTCAAAATTGGAATTAAAACAAGCACAAATACACTGAACAATTAGGGATGTCACGGTTACCGGTGTAGCGCAAAACCCCGGTAAAATTTACCATGTTTATTTTTTATTTTTGATATGATCACTCCCGCGGTGTAGGCACTGTGAGCCTTTTGGCGTCAGAGTCGGCTGAAGTTGCCACACAGGTGCACTCTGTAGGATACAAGTAGGATAAACCCTGCTGGAATCGTGACCGAAGGCAGAGACAACAGCCCTCAGGACATTTATCAGCCTTCAGAGGACAAAGTCTTAAGTGTGGGGATATTTTGGATTTCTTAAAGAATGCCAAGGGACAGGTGATGGGAGACTGCTATTCTGTCTGCAGAACGTGCAGAAAAAAAGTTTCTGCGATGACTCATCTGCGTGATCATCACCTACCCCTCTATAGCTAATGCTAGGTAAGATAACATTAACAAATGCAAACATTTGTCTGAAAATCTATCAATGTTCACGTAAAAGTGCAGCCGCAGCACCCACCACCAGCAAATTTAAAAAGCATCTGGCTGCCTATTAGCTAATATCCTAACCTAAACCGGTAACCAGTAATAGATGAGATGGTGAAATTAAAACAAGGCATTATTGAAACTATTTGGAGGCACAACAATACCATTCACTTTCTTTATTTTAACCATTTTAAACTATTTCAGTTTGTCTCGAAATATCAATGCTCTTTGAACATATTCATGTGATTTTCATACCGTGACACCCCTATAAACAATAGTATAATTCTTACTTGTGTGATGGCGAGTTTTGGTAGAGCAAGGTGCCTGCTTTTTGGAGGTTTTGGTGCTCTCTTTATTGTCATCAGGTTCACCTTCTCTTGAAGTCTTTTCAGTCTCCTCTGGCTGCTTCAAACTGAAAACAGTGATGTTGCCAAAAGTCACGTTTTTTGCATTGTCTCCTCCCGATATATGCCCGAACACCTGCTCCTGGGAGGTGGCTAGACGGGTAACAGCTAGGCAAGCTAACTAGAACTCTCTGGAACTACATGAAAAGTGAACAAGGAACTCTGAAAATCAGCAGTGAGTGACCCAAATAAAAAATTAACCTAAATCAATAATCAGATCCTCTTCAAAAGTGTCCTAAAATGTTCTACTAATGTTAATAGTTACTTCCTATGTTTACTGCAATCGCTTTTTGGCGCATTAAAACAGTATTTTTGTCATGAAAACGTAAACAGATAATTCCGAAAACCTTTGTGCACGTGTGTAAAGAATGTATATGTATAATGCATTCTCTGATTAACATTTAAATGTGTTGATTGATATATGTGTCATTGAGCGTGGCTTGCTTCGATAGCTTCTCTCGCTCAGAGAAAATAAGTGACAGGCGCCAAGTGTACGAACTTTACACACTTGATATACAAGCACAGATTGCATTGCCAAAGTGCAGTGGTCAGTACTGTTTGAGACTGGTCGGTTATCAAGAAAGATCGGTAAAACGTTTTGAAATTACATTCAAATCAATGGAGCCTTCTACTGCTGCTGTGAGGAGCTGTATAATAAATGATTAAATATTTTAGTATTTAAACTAACATCTCTCTGTCCTCTGGAAAGTAGGCACGGCTTCAAGACCAATCAGAAAGGAGGGAGGAGGGAGCTGGGGTCCTTTTTTCATGCACATCTCTTTTTTGTGACAAACTCCAGACAATGCTTTAAACGAACTACATTAGACCTTATCATACAGGTTAGGAGTAACACAATTTCTCAGAGACAAAAGCTTTGTGAGACATATATTTAAGAAGATCTATAGCTTTTACACACTTGAGTATCTGATTAAGTTTAGTAATAACACTAAAAACACATAAAACAGTTACTATGAACCACAACCGCGAAGAAATAAAATATGGTGCGTTTAATACACTAACCCTAAACTTGTAAAAGTAGCGTGGCTCTACATTGACAGGGTTATAACTTATGGCGAAGTTATAAGAAAAGTAAAAACTTGAAGCTTCGCCAGATGCTAATAGTTAGCTAGCTAGTTAGTTTAGCATTAGCTGCACTGTCGCAAAGCCCTCACCTGTTGTCTGTTTGGGACTTTCCTTCGGTCACTTCATCGTTCAGTTGGCAGTTGGCAAACGCTGTCCCAACAGTGAACCAGTCTTTAATCTGATCGGCGGTGAACATTTTCTTCATGGCGTTCAAATGACTGGACACATCTACAGTATTCGTAGATCGTCGACCGAGAGCCACGTGGAAACCTGAAAACGAGTGGGCGTGGCCTGGAAGTGGACTTGACTCAGAAGCACACATCGCCACCCAGTGTTCTTACATAGAAGTGCTGTTGGTGAACCAGTCATGTCAGCACTGATAATTGTAAATGTAAATATGACCGTTAGTGATGTTTTATGTAGTAATTTTAGCATGATTTTATGTGGACTGATGGATGTAACGGGTGAATGTATGAATGAATATTTGTATTTGAGTGTTTAAATATATTTTATATTGTACATGTTGTGACTCACCTGCTCAGGGACTGCAGATGGAAACTAGCTCAAGCTAAATCTGGTGCAAAGCATCTTTAATTAATGTATTTGCACATTGTCCCTGTTGAAATAAATTAATAAACTAAGGTAATCAGAATCAGAATCAGAATCATTTTTATTGCCACGTAAGTAACAGGAGGTCACAGACTTGGAAATTGCTTTGGCTCAGTGCAACAGTCAGAAAGAGATATAAAAATAAGAATAAAAAACACTTCTAAAGAATAAATGTAAATTTAAAATAGAGTTACAGTTACTATTTACAATATACAAGTGCACATGGTGCACACAATGTAAGGTGACAGCAGTACAGTTAAGTAAAGTGACGTATGATGGGCAGTAAAGTGACTTTATAAAGGGCGGGGGGACAGGTTAAGAAGTGTTCAAGAGTCCAACAGCAGAGGGGAAGAAACTGTTCTTGTGGCGGGAGGTTCTAGTCCTGATGGACCGCAGTCTCCTGCCTGAGGGGAGTGGTTGGAATAGTCCATGTGCAGGGTGAGAGGGGTCGGCTGTGATACAACCAGCCCGGCCTCGAGCTCGGGCGACGTACAGGTCCTGCAGCGATGGAAGGCTGCGGCCGATCACTTCCTCTGCAGAGCGCACAATGCGCTGTAGTCTCTGTTTGTCCCTGACTGTGGCTCCAGCGAACCACACGGTGACGGAGGAGGTGAGGAGGGACTCGATGATGGCCGTGTAGAACTGCACCAACATCTGTGCAGGCAGCTTGGCTTTCCTGAGCTGCCGCAGGAAGTACATCCTCTGCTGGGCCTTCTTGATGAGGGAGCTGATGGTCGGCTCCCACTTGAGGTCCTGGGTGATGGTGGTGCCCAGGAAACGGAAGGACTCCACAGAGTCTCCACAGAGTCCTGTAGAACTGTAGCAACAGTCCATTGCTTTTCGTAACAATCACCGTTTATAACAAAGACAATATGAGGCACGTTCTCCAGTTTTATTGATAAAATATTTCCATACAGTACCACAGTAATACAAAAAAAAAATAGGAATGCCCTGTATTTCATAAACTGTTTCTACTTAAAAACGAATTACAAAAATATATCCTGTAAATTAAATTATAATAGCTCTGCTGGCAGGGCTGGGAGACAGCCAATGTTATCTCGTAGCAAAGTGAGCTCTGACCTCAGAGTTTCATTTTCCTTTGAAAACAAAACAAACCCTTAATATTTATGATAATCAATACATTTGTCACTCAAAGTCATACCTCTTGAAGCTTGGTGTTGTCCTTCTTCAATTTCACCAGATACTCAATTCTTTGTTTATGATTTTTGTGGCCAACAAGTTTTCCATTTTCCTCAGACAGTTTAATATTCTGCTTACGAAGGACCTCGTTCTCCTGTAAAAACGCACAGATGAGATTTTTGAATATTTGTAATTTGGTGCAATTTGAGGACATCTTGAAAATAAATAAATCAGACTTGGAGAAGTTTGTCTTCATCTTGCACTCTCTGGTTCAGCTCTCTCAGCTCCAAACAGCGGTTCCTCAGCTCAGAGGTGAGCTCCTGGACACAGGTCTGGGACTGTGCCAGCATCGACTCCTGACCATGCAGTCTGAACAAAAGACATGTTACACTTCTATACTGTGTTTCATACTAATATCTTATATACTTACTTTTTCTGCATTTCTGACAGGTTCTGCAGTATCATGTTCTGATAAAGAATGAGAGTAGGGATTGATTTAATAATTGCCACGTATTAAACAAGAATTATACATTCCAAACCTTCTCAGTTTTCACATCTTGTAGCTCATTGAGTATAGACTTGTTGATAACGTCGCTCAACTCCACACTGTAATAAAGAAAAGTTAATGCATTTGCCTTCATCTGTATGCACACATAGATTTTCAAAAAATTGCTAACCCATTAGAATCCAAGGCTTGATTCTGCTTGCAATAGAACTGATCCACCAGCGCCTGAATCTCCAATTGTACCAACTCTTTTTCAGCCAATTGAGCCTAAAAATAGTTTGTTGTAATAATGTAACCAGTAAAACATTATTTAACAGTGACTCTAACTACCTTTAGTCTTTGGATCTCATCATTCTTTGCGGCCCTCTCAGAGTTTAGCTCGGCCAGCAGGATTTCCATAGTCATCATGGAGGAGCGGCGGTTTTCCAGCTCCCTCTCTCGGCTCTCCAGAACGTGGCTCAGATCTCTGTTGAAGCTGAGTGGTGTGCGTGGAGTCTGGACCAAGGGAAAAAAATAAAGAAAATAAAATTATACAGTGTTACTTTTATGCTAGTGCAGGCTACTTGTAAGACTTACCCGGCACGCAGATTTGGGAGTCAACATTGGGTTTTGTGGCAGGGGTATGCAGTTTCTGACACTCTTTTCAACCGCTTCCTGCTGTTGCTGTACCTTCAAACCAAATATGAATAGAACATTGTGCTTAATGTATTATGGACCATAATGGGTACGCACAGTACACAAATGCATATAATTTTTTTTCATCATACGTCATGAAATAAACTGGAATGAAACATAATGGCCTTAATCTAATTACATATAGATTGCAGCAACACATCATCAGTAGGGTAAAACTAACCTGTCTCACGACGGTCTAAACCCAGCTCATGTTCCCTATTAGTGGGTGAACAATCCAACGCTTGGTGAATTCTGCTTCACAATGATAGGAAGAGCTTATTCCAGTTTATTTTAATCCAGTTTTTAATCCAGTTTTAGTCTTGGTCTTTTCGTTTCATCAGTTCTCATGTCACTGTTATCCTACTGGTTTTGAAAGAGTTCCGAGTGAACTACTAGTGGACCAGGATTTTCACTTGTTTGGGCACTTTCACGTCACCTAAAACCTCCTTTGTGAGGATGGTCTTCTCTACACATGTTTGAATAAGCTGAAGATGCGACAGAGGCCAAATGCCGCATGAATGTTAAAACTGGTGATTGAGACAGTCTTATAGCAAGTTGGACTTATGACTAGGGGTGGGCAATATGGGCAAGAATAAATATCTTGATATTTCTTTCCCAGCTCCCGATAACAATATTGTCCCGATATTTTTAAAATCAATACATTTTACACAAAATGATCTGCAATGATCTATAGATAGAGACAGTGTAGATCAAAATAGCAGATTTTTATTTGTAAAGTGATTCACACTTTGCAAAACATGCACAAACATATCTTAACATTGAAAACCAAATTCAAGGGAAGAACACATCCAAGAAGGCTTGCTCAATATTTACTGAAATATACGAATAAAGCAGTGATTTGCTTTCTAGGCACGCATTTGATGAATGGGAATCTTGCCTGCTCTAATTGTAATTTCTAATATGTATTGGAGATATGTAAAAATAAATAAATACATTTACCCCAGCTTTAATTCAGTCAAATAAAAACATTAAAGTTTAAATTGACCGGATAATCTATATATTGATTAAGTAGTTGTTTAAGTTTAGTTTGGGCTTCTGCCCAAACTACTTGTTTAGTTTAGTTTGGGCTTGAAGTGTTGAGCTTGGATCTAGTTCCTGTTGTTTATATACGTTTTAACATTCTACCAATACAATAAACATAATTGGTTTTACTCTGCAATAACATGCATTAACTATAATTATGACAATATTCTTTCAGTCGACTAAAAAGGATTCAGTGCAATACCTTCTGCTCCAAGCGTTGGATAGTGGCGTCTTTCTGAGCCGCCAGTTCCTGAGCCGTGTGAAGAAGCGAGTTCTGCTCATCTAGAACCTTTGTGAGTCTTTCCACCTCCTCTGTGGCATAGACGACTTCCTCCTGCAACACTTCCACCTGCGCACACACAGTCACAAAGCTGAGTCCTCCAACTATCAACACAGAGGGAGGAATAACCCCCCATAAAAACACATTTCACACCTCAATTTTGTTCGACGCTACTCTCCGGTCTATTGTCTCTTTCAGGTCCAGAAGTTCGTTTTGAAACCTGGTCTTCTCCTCTCGATAAAGCTCGCGTTCCTGACACGCACCATTGTATTTTGCCTGCAAAAACGAGTTAAAAATGTTTCTGATGTACAAAAAAAATGTTGTAAAAATAAGTAAACCTACTGTGACTTCTTTTAGGTCTTCAGTGAGGTGAGCAATGGCAGTGCATTTTTTATTAATATCACAGCGGAGCTCTCTGGTTTGGTTTATCAAATCGACCACAACATCCTGAAAGAGTAAAACCAGTTCAATGAAGATGTCAGACTGCCACAATCATGTGATGTGAAATGGTTCTTTACTTTGTCATGTTCCATCTTCTGCTCCAGGCTCTTTATAGTGTTGCTGGAAGAAGTTAAGCTTTGCTCAAGAGCCAACAGTTTGGATGCCTTCAGGAATGACAAATAAAAGGGATCCGTGTAATTGGTTTGATTTTGAACAAAACTTAAAAACCTAAATACCTGCTGCTGGTTCTCTGTGCTGAGCTCTGAGGCTTGTTTTTTAAGCTGCACATTCATCTCCATCGTTTCCACTAGTTCTCTGGAGAAAAAAGAAGAAAAAAACATAATAAACATTTCCTATGGTCGATAGTCACATAAATGCAGGTACTCACTTTGAAGTATTGTCTTTGTTTTCTCTTAACTGAGACATCAAAGCCGTGGTGTTTTCTTGCTCCAATTTCAGAGTATTAACCAAATCCTACCAAATAACAGCTTAGTTTTAAATCAGCTCAACATGTTTAGCACAGTATACTGTACATCACTTTGCTCACTGTAATCTGTATCTTCAACTCTCTATTCTCCTGTTGGCAGCTGTGAAGCTGCTGCTTGTACTGGTCTGCTTCAAACTTGCTCTCAGCTTGAGTTTGGTCATAACAGTCCTGGAGACCACGATGCTGTTCTAGGAGCTGCTCCCACTCCAGTCTGTGGCCAGATACAGGGTTAGATAAGGTCTTGATTTAGGGCTGGAGACAGAAGAAGTAACACTGACTGGACTTTATCCAGCTGCAGCTGTGTGCAGATCAGACTGTTGGACAGGTGATCCACTTCTTTCTGCTGATCAGCCTCATTTTTCTTCAGCTGCTCCTTCACAGCGACCAGCTCTTTGTCTGAAGACTGTAGTACAAGCCGCAGGTCTCTGATCTCATTCTGTAAGACTGAACCTGTATCATCAGTCCCTGATAAACATTCAGTAGGTTTACAGACATGCATTTATACTTTCTGCCGTCTGCTGTTCAGTGGAGAGACTCTGTTGTAAACTTGTGATGGTTTCCTGAAGGTCAAGTTGCTTCTTGGTCCAATCAGCTCTTTGAGAACATGCCAGCTGTAATAAACAGTTAATACAATCATAATCCTAAGACCCCGTGAGACGCTGCAAAGCAATTCGCACAAACGACCAGGCTCCTTAGTCGAAGTGCACAGCGTCTACACGACAACTGAAAACTGTGTAGTTATAGCCCCTGACCAGTAGGGGGCAGTAGAACGAACACAACATGAGCAACCCCCGCCAGTATAATCACTTCCTCAACAACATCCTCCTCAGGCCACCGCAAAGACGTGAAAGAACCAACATCATTCTGCATTTAACAGCAGCAGTGAAAATGGAGACTGAAACTACAGCTTTGCGTGGTTTCGTTTGGACGGATAAAAGAGAAGAATTTTTCCTCTGTGTAGCGTTTAAAGCATGCATAGCATTAGCTTATCTGCCGCCATTGCCGTTTACGTTTGTTCTTGGCTACTGCGCATGTCCAAATGTACGTACAGGCAAGTGGCGAGGTCACCGCAGCCAGATAATTCACACCTTTTTATTTACACAGCCCCCGCCGTGCCGCGTATCTGCTCGGTTCCACGGTGGAGGCTGTTTCTCAACGCGTTCACCCCCCTGAAATACCGTCGCCATGTAAACAAAAGGCCAATTTGATACCCAACTCTAACGTTTTACTGTTGCAGCGTCTCCGTGTAAACAGCACCTAAATAAATCTCACATATGAATTTCCATAGGAATCTAATGCCTAGCGTACATTGGACTGGCAACTGATTATATCCCTCACATATGAATTGCTGCCCCGCACACATCGACAATCTGGCAAAAACGGGCAACTCCTAGTAGCAGACCAGTCTCGGGAATAACAGCGCGTACATCGACAGCAACTGGCCGTTAACTACAGTGTTTTTTCTGGCATAAACTGTAGAGGGCGCGCAATACACGCAATACACACATGTTGTTGGAGCGCGCCATGGATCTATTAGTAGCGTGCACATCATCTCCGGATCTGAGGAAAACTAGTTGCCGAAAAGTAGAACAGGGCAACTGACTGAAACTGGAGATCGACTGTTTATCTCCAGTTGTAAGAGCGCTCACATCGACCGATTTCGGCAACTGATCATCTCCCGCCATCTACTCTCAATTGCCAAAAGCCGCCTTGGAACTAGTTGTCTCCAGTTACTCTGTTGATGTACGCTAGGCTTAATATCACTCAAAACTATTTTCAGTTTTTGCAAAACAACATGGGCTCCAGTTGGGGAAAGAAAAGACATTTGTGAAATTAAGAGAAGTTTACCTCATCTTTGCATTTACACTCCTCCGTCAGCAGAGCAACCAGTTCCTCCAATCGGGAGATTTCCTTTAGGTGTTTGCTGTTGGTAAGCTCTGCTTCATCCAGTTGTGACTGGACAAGACCAGCCTGGTCCTGTAAAACAAACTCAGTGAGGGAGCAAAAAAAATCAGCAAGTATGCAAACACCACACTCTGGACTCTACCTGCATTTGCCGCAGCTCCTCAGTCAGAGCCATCTCAGTCATTTCAGTCGGTGGATGCTCATTCCATATATCTTCATTATTGTCTAAACCATTCAGGTGCTCAGGACTGGACAAGGGCACAACTCTAGAGCGCAAGTTGTAGGATTTGGTGGGTGTGGTGAGTATCTGAACAAAATATGATAAAAAATGTATTATTTGTCACAATCAGATGGATTTTAAGTCTCACCTTTAAAGTTTCCACATGAATTCTATTGAGTTCAGTGACCTCCTGTTTTTTGTAAGCATTAGTTGCTTCCAGTATGTTCTCCAAGTGTCTATTGGATTTGTCCAGATACCTCTTGTCAGACTCCAGCTGAGATAGTTGTCTCCTGGTAAAGACAAGGATGGTGTGATAAATATGGCAACTCAAACTATTATAAATACACTCTTTCGAATGATAAGTTGTTATAACTTACTTGGTGATTTGCTTATACTCTTCAAACGCCTGAAATACACCTCCAAGTTCTGCCTGTTTCTGGCTCAGCTGATTTTGAAGTTTCTCGATTGCTGTGACAGATGCCACATCGACCGCCATTGAGGCTGCGAGATCTATCCACAATTCAGAAGGTTAATCTTGTAATTCAATGTGCACACTTTTCTTACAAGATGGCGCCGCGGACGGTCGCCACAGCTCTACGCTGACCCCTGCCCTTTACGACCATTCACCCTACATTACTGTCACTTTACTGCACAACTGAATGTCTGTTGTGTGTAGTTAGTGCACTTGTATATAATAGTAATTTTAAGAAATGTTATGAATGCTTTTTAATGCACTACTTATTTCTGTTTTTTCTCTTTCAACTTGTTTGCACCTTGAGGCGAAGCAAATTCCTGGATGGTGACCTCCCTGCTACTTATATAGGCATTACAAATAATTCAAAATCAATCTTATGGACTAACTTTCGGTTTTCTCAGCCTCCAGAGCTCTCTGAAAAGCTGTGTCCAGCTCAGCAGACATTTGTGCCGTTTCGGTCTCCAGCTGAAGCAGCGAGTCCAGGGAGCGCAGATGGTGGTTCTCCTCCCGCAGACTGGCGTTCTCCGCAGACAATCGCGTCATCCTGGGGTTATGTTCCACCTACACAATATAGATTAGGTGATACTTTATTCGTCCCACAGTGGGAATATTTCAGTATTGCATCACCAAACACAGAACAGTAGAAATAAAGAGCACACAACACAAAAATAAAACAAATACGGTCCTGTTCAGTTACTGGAGTACATTACAAAACACAAGTACCTGGTTTCTTAAAATCTTGATTTCCTCTTTGAGTTGATCTATGACAGATTGGCTCTCTTCATTTGTAAATACGTTCTGCTCAGCTTTCATTTTTTTCTCCAGCCGTGAGATGTGATCCTCTCGAAACTTTACAATCAGGCGACTTGAGTGGATAAACTTCTCTTTCTGATTCCAGGCTTCTTCAAGTTGAGCTACTTTCTCATGCAGCATCTATGAGTGAGGACATTCAGTTATCAGACTATTGTGAATACCATGGTAATATTATTCTCATCTGAAGGAATACCCTTTTCTCCTCTTCTCGTCTCTTCCAAAGGCGAACTGCAGCCATAAACTTAGATTTGTAGTGGATCCTGTCCAGAGATTCACCCATTTTCTCAGCTGTGAATTGACGGTCGGTTACAATAATAAAACCCATACAAACGTGTGACTATATAAAGCAGGGGTGTCAAACCTGTCCTCAAAGGGCCAGTGTGGCTGCAAGTTCCAGGATCCCAAGTCGGAGCACACCAGACACCAGATGAGTCCAGTTTTAACGTGAAGATATGAGGAAATGGGTGGAGTCTGGTGTGCTCCTGCTCAGTTTGTAACTAAAACCTGAAGCCACACCGGTTTGACACGCGTGGTATAAAGTCATAGCATTTTACCGATTGAAAGTTGAGGTCCTCCGGGGGCAGCATCTCTCTGAGGATCACCTGAGACTAGTGCCATTGCAAGCTGCTCCTTTAACTTTTTCACTTCAGCTTGCAACTGTCTTACATTTCCTTGAGTGTCTTCATTAATGATGGCCTAAAAGAGTTAACCAGAGCAAAGAGAAATGAATCAATTCTCCAAACTCTCTTTTCCAGAATTTGCGTAAATAAATCACATACTTTGTTCTTGATCAACTTTGCTCTTTGGGCAAACTGTAAAGTGGACAGGGTTTCTCCAAAACACTTGGAACCGGGATGAACATTTGCTATAATGTACGTTTTGGCATTTCCACCAAGAGAGTCCTACAGAACAAACAAAAGAAAAATAGCAAGCCATTTACCAAGATATTGCAATGAAACACCCAGGCTCAAATACTTGTTTGGCATAATTAAGATCAATTAGCAAACAAAATAGAGGACTTTATTCATGTTTGTAAGGATGATGGAGGCAAGCTAAAAAATACCTCACAACATCAAAACATAATTCTCTTACTCTTAATAAAAATGTGAGCTTGGAATCTCTGTAGCAAATATGGCGACTCTTTCCATTGGACACGTCGACCAGAGCCATGATCACCTGACCCAGGCACATCAGGGAGCGGTTGATGCTGCTAGCCTCCTGTGGGCGGACAGTAAACATGATTCTGAAGAATGTTCTAAATCACAATGGGCCTCATTCACGAACGGTTCTTAGGAACAGATTTGTACGTAAATCCTACTTACGCGGTTTTTACGAAGAAAGTGGCATTCACGAATATCTCTCGTAACCAGAATTTCTCTTGGGCAAGTACAAATCCTACGAGTCCTCAAGAGCACTCGTACGCATTCAGTGCCGACATGTTCACACGCCGGGGTTGTCCTCTTTGGTGAAGTTGAATAAAAATACAACATTCCAGTGATATTTCCGTCATATCGATGTATGTATTTATTTATTTGTAGTAATCTTTATTAGTAATCTTTATTTATATACCGCCTTTTTCACTGCAGATCTGGCCTACTTTTTAATTCATTTTGAAATGAAATGTGCCAACGCTTTATCAAATACATTGGAAATCTTGCCGTGTATTAGTGACCCCTTCCTATTTATAGGGGGCATTTCTTTATCCACGGGCCACAGAACAACGGCATATATACTGCTGCTGCAGGAGGTTACTGGGTCCGCGCTGAGTCTCTGCGCTGGTCTCTCCTATGGATCTATACGGGTCTGCACTGGTCTCTCCCATGGATCTATACTGGTCTGCACTGGTCTCTCCCATGGATCTAGACGGGTCTGCACTGGTCTCTCCCATATACGGGTCTGCACTGGTCTCTCTCCATACGGGTCCGTGCTGCATGCTCCTGGATCCATACGGGTCCGCGCTGGTCTCTCAAGTCTGGTCTATGCGGTCTATCTTCGGTCCGCGCTGGTCTCTGCGCACCGGTCTCTCCAGTCAGGTCACTCCAGTCTATGCGGTCTCTCCTATAGGTCCGCGCTGGTTTCTGTGTGCTGGTCACTCCAGTCTCTCCTCGGGTCTGCATTGGTCTCAGCGCTGGTCCGCGCTGGATCTCCTCCCAGGGTCCAAAATATTTTGAGATTAATCTCAAAACATTTTGAGATTCATCTTTAAAATAATACATAATATATTTTTAAATTAAGCTCATAACATTTTGAGATTAATCTCATCATATTCTTAGATTAATCTCATAATGTTGCTAGTTCGACTTTATTATCATAATATTTCGACTTTTAAGTCAACATTTTATAACTTTATTCTCAGTCTGGTAAAAGAAGAAAAAAGGGTGACTCTTTTGCTCCGTGTAACTCTTTGCTTTAGGCCTGTTGCTGTTTCCTCAGCCGTCTGCACACGGCCCTGCAGCCCCTTATATGGGCATTAATGGGCGGTTACTTATGCTAAGTACCTATGCTAATGAAGCACCTGGCACGCGCGCTCTACTTACGAGGAAATGGGATTCATCAATCTGAGAGAACAGCTGCGAACAATTCAGCGGTTTACGAGTGCGTTGATGAATCCCACGTGGGGACTTCTTAGAAATCTACTTAAGGACAACTTGAGAAGAAAGTTGAGTAGTTTCTTACGAAGTTATTCGTGAATGAGGCCCATTGTGTTTTCACAATTAATGCCTGAAGGAGAATGTTCAGCGTTTACAAAGGAAAGTTCTATTTGAGGAAATAAAAACAAAACTAAAAAACAAATTCAGACACAAAATATGAATCGCTTAAACCAATGATTTTGGTTCTATGGCACAACTGATGTTTCCATTCGTAATACTACAGCACTTAAGCTGGTACTGTTTGACATTTTTTCAGAGCTCTAACCGCTAGCATGTTTCTACATTAAAAAATATAATCATGTGCGTAAAGGAAATGTGTTAATAATAGCAGAATAAAGGCACAATTCAGGGAAGCTGAAGAGCCAAACTTGAATTGCAATACTCATATCACAATGATGTTTACTCATTTAAAATGTGATTCTGCAGCAAAATCGATTGCAGCGAGCAGAGGGTGCACCTTGAGCCTGGAGCCTTCGGTGTGGGTGTCCTTCTGCCGCTCGGATCCAGCCAGGTCCACCAGGTTCAGCTGAGACGTGCGGATGTTCACCACCTCGTTCAGCGACTCTTTGGACTCCAGCGTCATGGTGAAGACGGCATGGGACCGGGACGACTCGCGGTTCATGGAAGTGGAGGCTACTCTGCGGTTCCGCCATCCCAAAGACAAGACCTGTCAGAAGACGTCATAAGAGATCCATTAACATCAATAAAACATTTTTGAAGCGATTATGGTTAAACCTAAGCTTGCCATTCTAAAACTATACAGAAGCCAGGGATTTTCCGCTTTATGTTTTGGTTACCTGAAGGTGTGTGTGTGTCTATGTTTTGTCTTCTCTAAAAAACTTGTAGAACTTTATTTCAATCAAAAATCAGACCAATCATTCTTGTACATGTTATGAATTCACTTGAAATAATTTGATACTGTAAGATATTTATAGAATGGTAATGTTATAGAAAATCCTACCCTAAACCGACGGTCTAAAAATGTGTCTTCCACATGAATTTTATGAATTGATCCTAGAACGCAAATGATAGAGCTGATTTTGATAATCGATGAGTTGTTTGGGTGTCCAAAGTTCAGTAAATATGGGATTTTTTTCTACATTGGACCGAAACAAATATTAAGGTGTTCCTCTAGGAGAACATCATTCATAGAGATAACTTTTTGCACATTGGGTCATAATACAATATTTCTATTATTTGAGGGAGTGACAACTTGATTTGCTCAAATCATAGAAGATATGAAAAATATTTTACTCATTAATACTGACAAAAACACACTGATCTATTCTTGGGGAATCAACAATATTGTACAGTCCTCTGAAACGACTGCTATTGTGATTTAGAGCTGTACAAAAGTAAATTGCATTGAATTTTTTATCAAACAGCCCAAAGTGAGACCTTTTGGGATCCAAGCAACTAATTGATGATCAAATAATAGTGAATTACATGACTTGTGGATGTAATGGATAATAGAGGTACCTGGTAGGCCTCTGCAGCCGAGACGACAAATTTCTCCACGGCTCCCTCAACAAACACGCCCTTCTTGATATTCTCTCTGACAAAGAGGCTCGCGGAGGCAGTGTCCAGGAGATCATAGATCTGTTCATTGTATATTTCTATAAACGAGCATTTGCATAGGAAACTCTTGGACTGTTGCGACTATAAGCGAGAGAAGAGAATGTAATGTATTGTCTTAGTATTATAAACTGTTGAATACCTCAATTGCAAAACACACTCACCCTTTCCACTTCCCGGTTAATGAGAAAAAACAGATATTCAAAACTGCGCGGTATTACTCCCCTCAACTGATCAGTGAAGTTATCCAACTCTGATGGACCTAAAAGTAAAAGTTGACGTTTAACAATTGCTGTTTGTTAATGGTGTATACTTTCTTATTATCATTATTGTCACCAAGCATTGTGAAAGTCTTTCCAGAGCCAGTTTGTCCACTGCAAAACACATAATTGTATAACATAATTGAGGCATAAGTGATTTAATTAAAGGATTCATCTTCACTAAAACCTACTAAGCAAATATAGTGCCGTTATATCCATTCATGCAGGACTCAACAATGTTCTTGGCCACACAGGAAAAGACAGCCTCCTGAAAAAACGTTTGAAGTTAGTCTAGGAAACCTCAAGCATCACTGTAAAGAAATGTCTGACTCAACCTGAGTGGTGTCCATATCTGCCACATGATCGTAAGTGAAAATCCGTGGCTGTGGTTTGGAGAGAAGCCGAATGGTGTTTGGTGAAGTGACACTGAGACACAGGCTCTGGTCTCCGTCTGTGGTGAGCCCCATGCCCTGGGTCAGAGGACGCACTCGCACAAACACTTTAATGGCATCACTGTCACTGTGGAGAAAATGACAATGACAATAACTAAAACTAATAACTTAAAACAGTAGCTATTATTACAATTAGATTAAAATTAGATGCATATAGCTAGAATTGAATTTTAATCTTTTTTTCAGGAGGGTAAGTGGCGATGCCAATGGAACGGCAAAGTGTGCGGAAAAAAGTGTACTTTTTTATTGCTGTAAGTGGGAAAGGTAGGGAAAACCAGAGCACCTGGAGAATATCTACTCAGAAAGGCCCTGTTCCGAACAGGATTCGAACCCAAGACCATCTTTCTGAGATGTGAGTGCCAACCACTCTGCTGCTTTCCAAACTAGCAGTCACTTTGCCCCTGCATCAGGAAATTTCCATCCATCCATCCATCCTCTTCCCCTTATTCATTTCTGCAGTCAACTGAGTGGCTGTCAGTGCTGCACTCAATCCAACTGTATCATCTATTATTGATGGTATAGTGCACAAATGTATCTATAAATGTATAACATAACATTGATGCAGAGAGTTTAAGTCAAAACAAGGATAATAATGAAATACCAGTTATCTTTGATATAGCAATATTTTCTCCATCAAAATGAATTCATAATTTGTAATAGGCCAGCCAATTAATTATAATGTTTGAGTTGTTCCGCAAATAACTGAACTATAAAATACTGATAATAAAATTGGTTAAATGGATTTATAAGAAGTAGAAATACCAGGCCATAAGATGCGATGAATCAGCTGCCCCTGTGTAAAGACAGATGGACACATTTTTGATAGTTGGTTAGGTTATGGTTGTCAAAAGTATCAAACAATAGATATTCGTAAATTGTACAACACTCATCAAAAATACTACCATGTAAGTAAGTATCTTGAATCATGTATATTACATTAGTAGGAGTTTACAAGAGCTGCAGTTTAAACATGATTTTGAGCTATATCAGATCTTTGGGTTACAACTTGTAAAAATAATTATTTTGTGAAACAAATAAAAGGTAATTGTAAAAAAAAACCTGAATAAGCATGCAATTTACATGACGCATAGATTTTAAAATCAAAATAATATTTTCGGGAAAAGCCCAGCTACCATTATAGAGGAAACCCAAACAATAGTCACATATCTCCAGCTCACTACAACATTCTAATCGTTCTATTTTATTAGATGCTGAAAGAAAATCCAGCTGGTGATGAGACATTAGACTTTCTAGGGGTTTTTAATGTAATGTCAAACTAATTTCAATTGGAAAATATAACCTGGGCTGGATACGTGATGAGGTACAACTCGGATGCTCGGATAAGTGTAATCGTTTTCAATAGCAAACGTGTTATATCTAACTTTATAGATTACACATGGTTGAATTGATCAATACTACCATAGTGATCAATGCAAGACGCTAAAGTATTGTGGACAAACGAATTCACAGAGTAGGGAGCAGACAAACAAAACGTTATAAAGCCAATCATTTACAACAATACCTGTGTGTGTTGTTTATTTTTGCTCTACACTTAGCTACTACACTGCTTCGTGCGGACCTTACCTTTTACGTTCGCAGTCATCTTGACAATAAAAACCGTTTAATGTGGTGAATAAACTGAATCTTGGCCTGTCCCGTTGGACTCAGGCACAATGTTTACATGCTCTTCCTACTGAAATTGGCGGGCAGCGGCACTTTTTCTTCTTCTGGTGTTTACTAGGCTAAGAAATCCATGAAAGGGTGAACAATTACGCCAGTGCCACCTACAGTAGCATTAACATGGATCTAACGAAATATGCGTAACTTCCGTCATTCGTCAAAACGGACTGACAATTATACTCACTAAATTGTAACTTCCATACGCTTTCCTTTTCTAGTTTTGTCCTGTGTACACTTCTTTTTTTCACACGGCTCATTGTATGGTGGTGTCGCCTTCAGTACGGCGATCCTGCTCTGTCTGAAGAGAGAGAAGAAATGCCCACAACGATTGTGAAGTGATTTGTGACTCTGATATGCGAAAGACGCTAAATGAATGAAGATTACTTATTTCATAACTTACTAATGACTTTTTCCATATTGTTGTGGAATAACTGTGTTGGGGGGTAAAAAAATCAAGCGTGAGGACGTTTTATCCGCTTTGTGATCCCATTGGTTGAATAACCCGGAAGTGCGTGTTTCTGTGAGTTCATTGGTTTTCAAGACTTTTAAATTTTTAAACCGTTGACTCACGGACAAGCTTCAGTTTGTCATCACATTTCTCTGCACTCGTTTCATGTACCGTTTGTTTTGTGGAAAACTTGTCTCAAAAGCTAGGATTAATCGAGGTACGTGACGTTTGCTATTATTTTTTAGATTTGACCAACGTTACCTAATAAGTGAGTGAAGTTTAATTCTTGTAGAGGGAGTTTTCTGCACTTTGTGAACTGTTTACGAATATGAAGCTAGCTTAAATCAGGCCTAACTAACCTAGATCGCTAACTAAGAGAATTCTGGTGTTTTGTTGTATCTTGATTGGGCGAATATGTCATTTCAGTGACCGTTACTTACATGATGGTTACTTGTTTGCCCCGAAATGTCACCTTATATTAACTTGAGCTCTGATTTTTGGCATATGATGTCATCTAAAGACGTCATTCTTTTTTTTTTATAATGGTGAATATTGCTTAGAATTTTGCCAACTCCAGATAAGTCAAATTCAACTATTTTACATAAGTGAAAAGGGGCATCTAATTTGGGAGAATGTGGCAATACGTTTTGTCCCCTACACAAGTCAATGGGAATGATGAATTTGTAAGAGATCCTTTATTCGTCCCACAGTAGGAATATTTTAGTGTGGCATCACAAGTTAAAGTGCAGTAGGAATGAGGAGTACACAACAGATGAATCCTGCTATTTTCTCCTGAGTCATTATGTTCAATAACGTAACAGCAAAGCCCAAGAGTGTTTGACTAAGTTATTTTTTAGAAACTTGTTTCTTTTTTTTTATTTGCTCCATTTCTGTGAACTGTAAAGTATCATGCTAACACAATAATAAAGGGTGCTTCTCACAGCAATGGGAAACAAAGAAATATAATGGATATTGAGAATCCACTTTTCAGGCTTTAGTAAAGATTTAGTACTTTCATATGATCAAAAACAATAATTCCAGAGATGAAGTACAAAAATGCAGTGTAACTAATACTTTAATTTGTTAGACATGCTGCCCATACTTGTCCACATCAGTCCCCACATGACCTGTGTTCCTTATCAGCTAGTTGCACATTTCAGGAGCACTTTTCTCATGATTCATGTGACATTCCGTGCAGGATGAGTGCGGTAGAGTTGAATGATGAGAATCGAGAGGTGTTGCTGCATGGAGGAAAGCACTGTGCCATGAGTGACGATATTTTCATGGTTGCAAATCCAACTGGAAGACCATCCATCCTGCGTCAGACTGAGAACTTGCCCAGTCACAACGTCCCCAAGGGTGTGAAGGTACTGCGTAGGTCCAGGACATGTTTATCTGTGGTTGCGTGTTTGCCTTAATGTACAATGTCTGTGTGTAGGTTTGTTTTCAGACTCCAAGAAGAGACCCGGTCACAAAGAGAATTGTGTCCCCTTCTAAAATGTCCAAGATGGCAAGTGTTGATGAATGCACAAAAGCATTCCAGTCATTACAGCTGGATAAAAATGAGTAAGCATTCAGTCCTAAGTATTTTCTTTATTTTTTTACTGGTCATTGTTAAAATTTAAGAAGCCAGTTAATCATTTGAATCTAAATAATTTATTGTCCACTGTACGCTTTGTTGATACATTTCTAATAGTCTCAACTCTATATTAATCACTTTGTGGCAACAGCTGGTAATAATTTTATAGTTACATATTTAGTTGTGTATTTCCTTCATTGGATAGTTGATAATGACATCACCTCACACGACACAAATTCCAAAAACTAGATTTAAATATATCTATATATATTTTTTTTTTTTGTAGGTCCTCAATTCATGAAGCGAATGACCAACTCGTACCAAAACTGGGTAAGTTTTTGGACCAATGCTGGTAAATGAACAAAGTCAAGGCCGTAAAACTATTGGCTTTTGTCTAATGCAACATTTTGACAGCACTTTGATTGTTTTATCATACAATCAAAACAATTTGCTACAAATGGATCAAAGTATATTTCACTGTATGTAACCACAGACCCTGAGGTGTGTTTGATGGGGTTTTTTTTTTAAATCACAATCAAATTCAGGTTTTATCCTAATGTAATAATTTTTTATTTTTTATTTATTATTATTATTATTTTTGGCCAATATTAACCTAATTAAGACCGTTTTTCATTTAGGTTCAGTAGTTAGCCCTTGTGTTTCACAGCAAGAAGGCTCTTAGGACCTGTCGTTTCTTTTGAGCCGGATTATAACAAGACTAATTATTTGAGACTAAAAGGATAGTCTATAGTGATATTGGGAATGGCAGTGTTTTTGGACAAAACCTGTGAGTTAAAAATGTTAAAAGGAAACAATTATATATTTTTATTGTCCTGTTGTTAGATGGTGAAATTCAACTTTCGAGCAGTGACTACCAATTGGATTTTGAAAACCTGGATGCTGCTGACCCATTTCAATCGTCCAATAAGGTTATGCTGTCTCCGGTGAGGCCTGCCGTTGACACTCCTCCTGTTCAGGAAGATCGTGACCAGGGCCGCTCCAGTCTCACTAAAGTAGAGCCTGCCTTGGACGACACGCTGCCTTTCACTCCATCAGTGGAGACCTCTTTGAATGCAACTGTGGACATCAGTTCCACAGACAGCAGTGTGGTCTTGGTCACAAAAGCTCCAGCAATGGAGGAACAAGAGCCAGTTCCCGATGTGCCATCAGAAAAACAAGATAAATCTGTGGAGAATTCTCCTTTGCCCACAACAGGATCATACAATTTTGATTTTAACAACCTTGATGCGGTGAATCCTTTCCAGACTGGTGGCTCCAAAATCCAGAACTCTCCCATGTGTAAACCTTCTCCATCAGAAAAAGATTCATTGGACATGGTGCAAAAAAACCTCACAGAGGAGGTCATAGGGCAAGAAATGATGATGAGTCAACCTGAAGAAAAACCTGTAGCCACAGTTGCTCCCATCTTTGACAACACAGATGTGTCAAGTGAACCAGAGGCTCAGCCAGACACTTCCACAGAAAGAAACAACCCTATCAAACTGGAGTTTAATTTTAGTGATGATGCAGTAAAAGTAAAGCCTCCACCAAAAAAACTTGGTGTCAAAAGGCCAGCAAGCCAGAAGGCCAAGGTCGCAGAGCCAGTGCAGAAGGCTGAAGCACAGCAGGCAGAAGAACCTCGTGAAGAGGTCGCCACGCAGAAGGCTGAAGAGCCTTGTGAGGAAGTCTCCACAGCTAAAGGTTCATACTCCTTTGAACTCGGAAAGCTGGATGACCCAAACTTCAACCCTTTTGGTTCAAAGGCCAGTGTTTGTAATTCACCGTCTCCTAAATTTAGCATTAAAACTAGTCCAGAGTCTGTTAAACCTGTTCAGGAAGAGCTGATCGAGCCAGAGCCTGTGCTTTCAATGGAGAGGTTTGTTCAGTTGGTTTTTATACTTAAAATATATAATGTGACAAACTTACTTGAACATATTTATATTTTATAGCAAGACTGAAGATGTGCCTGTCGAGTCTACTACTGAAACGGTTTGTGGATGTTGCTATGTTTTTATTTTATGTACTTACTGAGATCCTGAATACTTAAACTCTTGATGTTAATGGGTAAAGCCTTTTCCTCAGGCTGTCTGTGAAGGCACTCCTCCTCGGGCTGAACACATGAATCTTTCGGAGCCACAGTCACAAGGCAGTCTGCTAGAAGAAGAGTTTGTTCCGGGGACAACGTGTAAGTGATTGCATTTCTAAAATAATTTTGTTGGTTACTGTCCCATTTGTGTCCGTGGGTTTGAGAGTGATCTAAAATTAACATAGCTGTCATAGTGATTTATAAAAAACAAATGTTCTTTTGATTTGTGGGGCAAATACCTCAAATTGAATAGCAGTCCCTTGTTAAAAAAGGGAGAGTTGGTGACTGGATGTATAACTATGTAAAGCTGCTCGATGCTCCCTCATGCCAGAGTGATTTTCTGTAGAGCAGGGGTCGGCAACCTTTATGACATGGAGTGCCAGTTTGAAATGTTCTTATCTAGTGTGCCAGTATCAACGATGATGCAAAGTTAAATTATGACACAAAATCCAAAAACATTTCCAATATACCTGGAATTCTCAACAATAACAGTATCTGTATTCTTAATAAAATACCCACATCAACATTTCAATAACTGAAACGGCTAGCCTACACATTTAAACTAAAACTAGTGTAGGCTGAGGAAACATCAAATGATCAGATGCCTATAGCAGATAGACAGTGTGGTCCCTGGCCCTGCTTTTCTTGAGCTCTGGGATCTGGGGCTTGTAGTTAGTTACTTTGAGTTGCAAACATGCCTCAGAGTGCTCCGTTGTTAACCGATTGCGGGTGGGGCTTCTCATCCTCCAGTTCTGGTTATTTTTGGCCCTTTTCATTCAGTAGGGGCCTTTAATAGCATCAAAGCAGGTGGAAAATCGCTCCAGAACTTTTCTGCCACTCCTGAGTGGAGAGGCAGGTCTGTATACCTCAAATCCACGCTGTGGTGTCCTCTGGGTCCTAGTGTCGGCAGTAAAACGCTCACAGACAAAGAGGTGGATGCTTTTATTTTTAAAACAGGACAGATAAAGTGAGTATCGTAATAATACGGAGATGTCAGTGTTTATTCCGCGGCGTTCAACAGGTTGCCGACTCCTGCTGTAGAGACTCAAATCCATGTGGTCAAGTGATGGCTGTGTTGTTTAATTTTCACGTTCACTTCTGTTCTTTCCCATTTTTAGTCTTGGCAAATGATTTTGATGGACAGATTGACTACCTGGAGCAGTTTGGGTCAAGCAATGTAAGCCTTTCATACTAAACTATAGCATGTGCTGTAGATCTGTCCTCACCGTCCTCTTTCACAGTTTAAAGAGTCTGCTCTGAGGAAACAGTCCTTGTACCTTAAGTTCGACCCTCTCCTCAGAGAGAGTCCTAAGAAGGGTCCTGGACCAGCTGCTGTGGTTCCTGCATCTCGACCTGCTGCTCTGATGCCACGGTACTGCACGGTTTAGATCCAGATCTGACCTTTTCCAGACAAGTCAAATGGTAACATTGTTATCCTTTTTTCAGTTTTGAAACGCCAATGGAGATGAGTCGAGGACAAAGTGAAGACTTCCAACTCTTGGATGTTGCCACTGAACCAGTAAGTTGCTCTTGGACCATCTTTCACTCACAACCTTTATTCTTTTATGTTTACTCTTTTGAAGAAGGCAATGGATTCAGATTCAGAGGCAATACAGATGGATGCCAGGGTTTCTGCCTGCGAAAATCAGCAGAGGGAAGGGAGGATAGCGAGCATGGATTTATAAGAATAAGATGCGAGAGACGGTGAACCCTTTCTGCTTGACATGTTAGTTTACGAAAATCTAGTTCCGTTTTCTGGTCAGCAACAGGTGACTAGAAAGTGTTGGTTTTTTTTTTGTAGTAGTAGTAGAGACCCCCCCTAGGGCCATGGCTATGGGGGAAACTGATCCTCCTCTAACACAATATTTGTCATAATTTGCAACTTAATAATTTCAAAATCTTTTTCCCTCCAGTGTGCCCCTGTACGAAGTGCAGCGCTGCCTTTGTCTTCAGTTTCCCAGGAAACAAACACTGAAGAAGCCATCATTGAAGTTCTAAAGTACAGCCAGAAGGACATGGATGCAGCCATGGCCAGGGTCCAAGCAGAGGTCAGACTAAATGCAAAAGTGGCGACTGTTTGAGAATGCATATTAAAAGTAAACAAAATAAAATGGGGAAGGTCTTTAAAAACCTTTTTCGTCCTGATCCTTTGACTACTGTCACTGATGAGATCCTTGTTCTGCATGAATGACATTTTACACTAAATAACATTGAAATTGTCATTTGACTCAGACGGAGGAAAAGGAAAGACAGTGGGGCGCCAAGTACAACAAGTTACATGACGATGGACAAGAAATGCGGTGAGTATAGTTTACTGGATCAGAATGACTTCATAATGCTATATACTGATTATTTGTTTCACTGCAGGAAAATCTTAGCGGAATACGAACTCTTGACTGCCAAAATAATGGGCAAGTTCTGCGGTGTTATTTTTATTTTGTTTTTATTTATTTCAGGCTCTACTAAAGTGTATTTTTTGTTTTGTTTTACAGCTGACCAGGAGAAGGAGAAGGAGCTGGCACAAGCAAAGATAAAAGAGGCTCTGGCAGAGAAGGATCAAGTGTCCAGCGACCTGAATGCAATGGAAAGATCCTTCTCCGACCTTTTCAAGAGGCTGGAGAAGTACAAGACTGTCATCGAGGGCTACAAGAAGGTGCAACACAAAGCATATTCACATTTATTAGTTTTGCCGTAGAGCTTGACATATCGGCCAATATTTTCAGTTTGGCAAAAAAAAAAAAAAATTGACTTCAATAGATTTCTTTTACTTTTGCTAATAGTTTGTTGCATTTTCTTCAATTAATTGCATCAGTAGTAGTGGTAGTGGATATAGATTATTGAGTTGGAGTTCCCTGTATCTGCATATCGAGATACAGGGAGCGTTGCCATATTATCCCAGACTCTCTTTATGGTGCAGAGTCCAAAGCATCAGGTTTACATTTTTGACCCGTTTGGTCTGAACGCACCAGGGGCGACACTGACGTTAATGGTGCTGTCCAGTAGGGGGCCCCAAAAGCTTAGAGATCCTTACCCTGTGTTTATTACAGAACGAGGAGACGCTCAAGTCCTGCGCTCAAGATTATCTGGCCAGAATCAAGAAGGAGGAACAGCGCTACCAGACGCTCAAGGTGCACGCGGAGGAGAAAATCGGACAGTGAGTGGATATTGGTAAATACTCAACATTACAGATAAGATTGACGATGACATTCTGTGTTATATTTTCTCTCAGAGCGAATGGGGAAATCGCAGAGGTGCGCTCAAAGTTTAAGTCGGAGCTGTCGGTACTTCAGGCTCAGCTGCGGCGAGAACAGCTGAAAGTGCAGTCGCTGGAGCGGACTCTGGAGCAGAAGGTCAGAACAGTCCGGTGGAATTTTTACAATCTAAAATAAAGATCACTAATTATTTTATGTTTCAACAGGAGAAGGAAGCCAACGAACTCACCAAACTCTGTGACGAGCTCATCAGCAACGTGCAGCAGGGTTGAGCCGCAATGTGTTTTACCGTTGTCATGTTTGTCCTTTTTTAGTGTTTATTGTAAAATATATATATTAATGTGTTTAATTTCACTGTAAATATGGACTTACCTAGACCGTAGTTGTTGAACTGAACATGTGATAAAATGGTTTGTTGCGTGCCAAATAAAAAGAAAAATGGTTACATTTAGTTGGCTTGAAATTATTGTTTAATTCTGTATAACATTTTTCAATTAAAGTAAGCCATATCCTTTGATTTGGAATTCTATATTTAAATTGAAATTAAGATTTAGTATAGCACAACTTCTTGCAAAACAAAATCTAACTTAAATCTTGTAATCATAATTCGAAATAAATCAATCATGATTCGGAATAAATCAATCGGAAATTTGTCTTTCCTTTTCTATGGCTTATAGTTGCGTGTATATTTCTAAGCTTATGTAGCAGCTCAGATAAAATATGGATGTGCCACCAGGGGGTGATGTAGACACAGTAATGTTCTCGACAAAAAACTACGCTTGGACTTTCAACAATACTATTTAAACAATAATTGAAACCAAGTGTATCCTGAACATTTTCATTACAATCTAAGACAAATAATAACTTATGCATGTAAATATTCCAATTCCCTATCAGTGGTCTTAATGGGGTTTCTGGAGCTCATGGAGTACCCAACTGAACCACCACACACACAAAAAACACAAGAAATTAACACAATTCATGTAACAACTTTCTCGGACTCACACCAGGTTCCATCACTAGTCATCTGCCCCTTATGGACCAATGGCTGTATGTGTTTATTATTATTACATTTCTTGTGTTTGAAATGATTCATTCTCTAATCTTTGTTGGCAAATCAACAGCTTTGCAAAAGTCTTTAGAGATAACTACTATAGTGATTTATGGCAACACAAAGATGAATTGAATTGAATTGAAACTGAGCCCCATTAGACCCCATGTGTTGGTCTGATTTGTTCACAAAATGTTACTTCAACAAGATTTTCTGTTGGGACAATCACAGTGCCTTTATGAAACAAAAACAATGTACAGTAGGTTCTCCAACTGCAGAGACCAGTTGATCCAATAACCTTAACCCACTATTGGACCATTTATTGCAATGATGTCTTGACCTTGTTCACAGACCACAGCAAATCTCAAACAATCATAACATAAATGCATAACTGGTACAATGCCTCTTTTCTTTCCAGAGCAATCAGTGGCCTCTGTCACATCACTCCCACTTCAGACAATGTGCATCCAAACTGCTCCAGGTAACTCTATCTGGAAGGAGCTCAATGCGTTGCTGGTCAGGAGAGAGGAGGAGGAGGAGAGGGAGGCTGGCTGGGGTAGGTAGGGGGGATCGGTTCACTCCAGCGGGGGAAAGATGCTGTTTGTCTGTGTAATCTTGCAGCAGCCGTCACTCATGTGAAAAGGACAGAGACTTCCACTGTGTCCCAGACTCTGTGTCCCCAAGCTGCTGCCCCCGGCCTCACCCCAACACAACACTTGACCACAGAGGAGCAGAGGCTGACCTATGAGCTCCCTCTCTCTGTCCCGGGATAATGCCCACACTCAGCGCTGATTATGCACGCCTTAAATCTGAAGTTGTTGAGATAAGATACAATAACCTTATTCAGCCCACAGTGGGGAAGTTTTGGCAATAGTCATGGAAACATATGTGCTGCTGCTTCTACAGGTGTTCTGAAAAACTCTAAAATCCTAGATAGTACTAGAACTATCAGAGCAGTCAATTGGATGGCTCATGCACATTTTTGGTTTTCCCAACCTTTTTCTGTATATGTTGTTGGCTTTTAAAAAAATATATTATTATCTTTTCTAACTACTGAAATTAAAATGTATAGCCATTTTCGATTGCTTTCTATCTATGTCAGGTAAAGTCCCTTTTACAAGATCCTGACCTGGACTGGACTGTTTCTGAAGTGGACCTGAACTAGCCTGGTCTTACCATACCATCAAACTAATTTCATTTTTCTCACTCCAGTCTGAGAAGGCAGCCACCACCTCCCTGGACTCTGCTTCATCCCCCCTCTTCACACATGCCACAAAAGCGGTATAATTTGGGTGTTTTTGTACATGGCATGTAGCAGAGTTGTGTATAAAGTCTGTAGTGTAGATTGTAAAGAGGAAGGGAGCCAGAACGGTACCCTGTGGGGCTCCCTATTGCTCATTAGCCTTTCAATAAACAGTTTTTGCTGTATTTCAACCAGTTTAGCACATATTATCATATGGACAGGTGTTGCAAATTAGAAGTTTTGCTATAACACTGGAAACAATGTATCTGGTTTGTCCAATGCAGTTGATATGTCCATATCAAATAAACTAATAATAATAATAATATTAAGAACGAGTAAAGGTAAAACTATAGATGTTTGGGGGGAATTTCTCAGACTTCCATTGATTTGAATCGGAGGAGTGAAAATGACGGTATGGGAGATATAGTTATGAGTAAATGCAGAGATAGATTTTGCGGCACTCAGGAAAAAAACAACACTGAATAAAAATACAGAAACAAAGGCAGCAATATTTTATACAAGATTGTCAAATTAATCATATCCAACAGGTGTGACTGGGTAGGATTTAAGGCAGCCGGTCCCTTTATCTTTAGCACCCAATAACAATTCACTGTGTTTTTGTTTAGAAATGTACAATAAAATCAGGTAAATAATATAAATACTAATGTGACATTTATATAATTTTAACCAAACCATTTGTAGATATGATTTTATTTTCAATTGCTTGCTATGTAGACAAGAACATCAGAAGTGCATGGACCATATTTTGGAAACTACACTAGACACTGTAAAAAATAAAATGTAAACAAACACTCTGAAAAATATAAACTTATGTCAAATAAATTAAAAGAAAATATGAATTGTTATTGTCTCCTTGTGTACCAATGGTGTAACAGATGCACAGTTATACAAGCACAGACTTCCACCCCTGCAGTCTCAGGCAAGGCTCCATATATCCACTCAACATGTAATACCACCTGAGGTCATAGGTCCTGTGGAGTTTAGTGGTCTATGTTAAAAGCTCCGTCCACATAAAGAAAAGAGTGTAAACCAGCACTAGAAATGCGAAGGGAAAGCCCCAGTCTGTGCTCAGTTCCAGCAGGAAAAAAAACATTCTCCTTATCCAAACACTTTCTCCAAAACGCACACACACACCGTCACAGTTTTGTGTTCTTAAAAGTGCATGACGACAATGCATCCGTTTGAGTGGTGTAAAGTCAAATGATGTTGGGATGTAACTCTATATTAGAATATGGTTCAAAAGTCCATTTACGTCTGTAATTCCCCTTGGAATAAATACTACTAACGATTTTCTAGAGAAAAACAGTTAAACTAATGACATGGGCCTCAAAGATTTGAAATGATTTAGATAAATCAGGAGGCTGCAGGGTGTCTAAGCGATGCCTGTTTTTAAACAGTTTAACACCTTAATTACAGAAATAAATTAACTTTTGAACGATATTCTACTTTTCAGAGTTTCACCTGTATGTGTTCTCAGCAGCGAGACCCCAGGGGCTAACACTGAAAGTGGATGTGCTGGTGCTGGTGGACTTTGCCCTCCACGTGGGAGTGAGTGTGGGTGTGTATATCCGTGTAAGGCTTGGGGTAGAGTTTTGGAGGGATTGTCGTTTGGCTCATGAGGAGCTGCTGCTGGGACAGGTACTCCTCATAGTTCCTGGGAGTGATGCAGTCCTTCTCTGGACCTGAGGAGGGGGCACTCACACACAGCCGGTCCCTCTCCCGGTAGGGCGCCCTCTGGCTGTGTCCTTGTCCAGTTGTGGGGTGGGCATTGGTGGGAGGAGGACAGCGTTTCCTGCTTTGACAGAACCAGAGCAGAACTGTTCCAAAGATGAAGACAATGCCAGCCGGAATCCCTATGACCACGGGCCAGGGCAGAGAGGTGGGGGCTGCAGAGAAAACGGTGGTGATGGGGACCTTTTTATCTGCAAGAGAGGGACAGGGGTTATATGTACTATTATTGATTCCTACATCATTTGGCATCAAGATAATATATTAGACCATTAACCACTTAACACCCACAGGCCAGAAACTTTACAGTCCATGTACAAAAGACACAAGAAAAGGTTTTTGCGGAGCATGTAATTACACCATAATAAAAATATACACTTTTTTATGGTGATGGATGACCTAAAATTTGAGTAAATCGGTTTGGCACATATTGGCACTAAGTGTGCCAAATAAAACCGTATGGCACTAGTTTATGTAAAAGGGAAACTGCATCCAAACCTTTGACAGTTAGGGTTTGAATATTGTAAGCTTAGAATGAAGTATGCCTTTGTTAGGGTTTTTATAAATTTGCTATTTTAGGCGAGGCTAAATAAACAAGTTTTTTCCCCAAACTTCAAAGGATGCAGAGATAAATAGGAATGACATACATTTTTATAGTGTATGATTACATAAACTGGAAAGCTCTGGCTTTAAAAGGATGCATCACACAAGCATGTGTTTGTGTAAGTTGTATTTTGAAATATCCAAAGACAACAGGGTATGCCCAACTTTGGTGCACAAGCCAACTTAGGTGGGTTGAGATTAAAAACATATTCATATTGATTAGCTCACTTCAGAATTTGGGTATATGGAAGAGGACCGATGCAATCTTTGATATAAAAAAACTAACTTGCATCATAGAGAAATTAGCCATAGGAAAGTTCCTATTTATTTTTTAAGAAAAAAAGCCCAAACAAGTTTATAGGCAATACTTTTGGTTTAAAAGACAAAACTGACTCTGAGTCTGACGTCATAGTGGTACAATGACATCAAACTAATAACAGGACTGAGACAGGAGACTTTAGACAGAAGTTGAAGAGTTACAGGTGACAGAACATGAGTTTGGGTATGGATCTTAAAACAACTCCTGTTCTGTTTTGGATGAGGCAACAATATTACTCACCTGGTAGCACAGTGAGGAAGGCGCTCCGGAAGCTGTAGCCCATGGTGTTGGCCCCCAGACAGATGTACATGCCCTCGTCCTCCTCTTTGGCCCGGGAGATGAGCAGCTTGTTAAGGTAGGAGCCATCGGGCCGGGACCACACCTCCCCCGTAGGCAGCACCGTGAATCTGTGCTCTCCCACTTCGATGGTGGAGTTGTAGCGGCTTTCCTCGTCAGTTTCCACCCGTTTGAGCCACTGGATGACTGGTTTGACGTCGCTCTGGACTTTGCACTGCAGAGAAGTGGTGTCGCCGTAGCTCACTGTAGTGTTGACCGGGTGTGTGCCGGTCAGGACGGGCTTGGAGTTGGTTCTCTCTGTGAAGAAGGAAGAATAGGGAATCTTCACAATGTAGGAAACATATGTAGGCCTCTGATCTGTGTTGGCGAAATCAACAGTTTTGTCAAGTCCTCCGAGACACCTACCATTGGGTTTTAGGGCTATACAAGAATCAATATAAATAGGACCTTTTTCAGAAATGTTTAAGTTCCTTGTCAGCTGTAGCCTGGTCGTACCACACCATTGTACAACTTACATTTCGTATGATAATTGACCTGAGTTTACGGATGGCTAAGGCCAGACTTGAGCAGGAGCCTTTTTAGTTAACATTGAGGTCTGAAATGTTTGTCAACTAATAATCACATTTTCAATTGAGATTTTGGAATACACGGACTATGCTAGTTTTGTATCCAAGAACCAAGCACCACTCAAGATCAAGCTATCAATTTGTCTTAAAAAATGCATTAAAGATGGGGTACCTAACTTTTTTTGGTTTAATAAACAAATACATTTTATTTGACTGTACAGAGGATAACAAGGGACACTAAAATCTCGACATAATCTAACCTTTGTGAAAGCTGTAGGTTCCCTGTCAGCTGAAGACGAGCTGTTTTAGTTAATATTGAAGTCTATGGGGAAAATGTTCTACCCAGATAATATAATTCAATCATGGTCCAAGCATGTCATTTGTTCAGACAAATGTAAAATATGAAGTTTAATAAATCACCATAATATAAACCAGTACAATAATGGAGAAACAATGGCAACTTATGTGTGCGCAGTGCTTCCGGTCCTACAGCTGCTCTGTAATCAGCTACAGATCCGTCTGCTCCATAAACGCCTGGGCACAGCTTGGGCTGCTTCTCATCTCAAAGCTGCAATTACCAAAAGAGGCTCCTTTATCACTTTCACATCATTTGAATTTGACTCTGAAAAGTGCATGATTCCTCTAAAGTGGTCTTAAGGTCGCTTAGTAGTCTGATCTGATTCGTAAACCATGTTCTAAATATGAAGGGGGGAAATAGTCATTTGTTTTTTTCTGAAATCTGGGTTCATATCAAAGCGGATGCCACTTTCTAGTGGTTCTGGGTTGTCATAAGTCACATTTGTGACTTATGAGTCATCGTGATACCAAACTGTAAGGGCTCAAAGAACATGTATACCTTGGCCCTGTGAGTTACTGATTGACACTTTAGATGTGACAAAGGCTATAAAAACATGTGTGTAAAAACTAGTGATAGAACCAGTAGATGGATTTCTTGATTAACTTTTTGTGGTTTTCAAACATAGGCACCCAAGGTTTAAGAGTTTCATCAGTAGAACTTGGCGTGTCAAGCCTGCGCCTCTCACCGATGACCTCCAGTTTGTACGTGGCGTTGATCTGCCCGGCGCGGTTGTGGACGCGGCATGTATAATGACCACTGTGCTCTGGGCTCAGGTTCCGCAGGCTCAGGGTCCACCTCTTCAGCCGGCCCTCTCCCGCCTCCTGTCCGCTCAGGGGCCGCTCGTCTTTCAGCCACTCGATGTCCGGCGGAGGGGTCCCGCTGGCCGCGCACTTCAGTCGCACTGAGCTGCCGACGGGCCGGGCGATCACACGTTTTCTCATTTTGGAGGGCTCGGAAAAGCGTGGGCAAACTGGGGACAGAGACAAAGGTTGATTCGTTAAACAATTCACAGGCACGCACTGAAAAAAGTCGGAAAATACTTGAATTTGAATTTGCAGGATTTTATTAGACTTGCGTTTTAAGTATAATTAAATTGATGGGTAACTGGGGCTGGTGCTATGAGACTTGGGTGGCATCTCTGACTGCCACCCCCCTGACCCAGAAATGGATTAAAGGGTAGAAAATGGATGGATGGATGGATGGATGGATAAATTGATGGGTAACTGTGATATTGTTTCAGCCTTTTCTGATGCGTAAATATGCATCTTATTTCTGTGTTATTATTTATTCCCCACTCAATCACATCTATATACATTTCTATGCTGTGAATGTATTGTTTAACAGTGCTTTTGACTTATTTAAAACATAAGCAGCAGTCAAAAGAATCGGGAAAAGTTGCTTGAACCCCATAGATCTGTCCTCCTCCTGTAGCACTAAAGCCTTACCCAGTTTCTCTGACAGCTCCACATCTGCTTCAGTCTGCGTCCCATCAGCTTTTTCTGACGTGGTCCTATCAGAATCATCTGCAAAACACAAAAAAACTATCACAATTCTGCACCACAGTATCACGAGACAGCAGTAATAATGATAAAATGCACGGAACAGACTTGTATAAGGAGAAGCTGCAAAAACATTCTATCTTTTGCATGAAAGTGAGTCGCTTTTTTATACTTCAGACTGAGAGCTGAGTGAAGGTGGTCCTGGCTTTTTCATTCTGTCTGAAAAACCTGATAGAAAACAGTGTATGTATGGCTTTTGACAGCTGCAGCAGCGCTCAGAACTATTACAAACAGTTTTAATATCTCCATGATCGCACTTTAGCAGTCGTGAGTTCAGGGTGGTTTGAAAAGTGTATAAATGTGTGTAAGGGGTTTTACAGCCATAAAACATACAGCGGCTTCTGCAAAAAGACATTCCCCACTCAATCCCATCTGCAGATACATGTCTGCTGAAGATATAGTGTTTAGCTGTGGTTACTAACATATAGTGCCATATGTACTTTGGTTCATGTAGTACTAACATATATTGTTGAGGGGTTGAGTAATGGGTTTGAATCCTATTTCAAAACCCTTGAATACATAACGCACAACATATCCCACTATATGAATCAACTCGGACTCTGAGGAGCACAGGGACAGGTCTCCTGCTGGTGCCCAGAGTCAGGACTAAATATATGCAGCTGTAATCTGGAACTGTCTTCCTGAAAATATGAGAGAGGCTATACTCTGACAATGTTTAAACAGTTCTGTTAAGCGGTGCATACAACTGAAGGATTGTATCTTCACTCCATGTACTGTAAATACTTATGGTTGTAATTCCTTGTATGTATATGTATCTTATCTAATTTTGTTCAGTACTTTTTGAGATGCCTTGTGTATGAACAGTGCTACACAAATAAACATTCTTTGCCTAGTTATACCAGATTATCAGCCATATTGGATCTAATCGATGGGGGTACACCGGGAGCAGATGTGACCCGGCCTCTACCTCAGAAACCTCAGACCCCCAAACTGCTCTGCTACAAGTCCTCCTTTGTTTGTCCCTGCCGCTCCGGACCAGCCATGATGTCATGACTATTTGGAGGCTTTAACTGGCCAAATATAATAAGCCATTACTTAAAAAAAAAAACAGCCTCCAGTGGAAGAAATATTTCTCTGTAGCTCACTGGGGCTCTGTACATTCCAGCAGGTTCCTGTGCCTCCCAATACAAACACTGCTGCGCTCTGCATTTGGACTTCATTTTTCCACTCTGATTTCCTCTCTTGTACTAAAGAACTATTGATGCCTTCATAAATCTCTGCATTCAAATCAGTCAATTACTCATTTGAGCTGGGGGAGCTTTCATGAAAACAAAGATCTAATTAAATATATTAAGTTTGCCGCCAAGACCCTGGCAGTATGAGTGCAGTGGAGACAGGCCATGGAGTCTATAGCAACAGTTATATAGATACTTATACATGTATACGGGATACGTCACATTTAAATCTAGTATCTTCATGTTTTTGCACTGCTACAACTAAAATTGTAAATTAATTGTGACCTTTTTAAGAATATTTACCTTAGACTTAGAGTTTTCCAATAAAAGTACATAAGAGCATGCCTTATTTTAGCCCATTTTTTGTAGCATAGGTTTTGATTGCTTTTATTAGCTTTTTATTGATTTTTATTACATTATTTTACCGAGCTTTTATTCTCTGGTTTTCATTTATCAGTGGTTGTTTTAAACTGGGTCCAAAGAACTCTTTAATAAACTCTTCAATAAACAATATATACTAGTAACATACATGTATATATTTTAGTAACATAGAGAAAAGGTTGATTTTTACATAAGTTTGCCCTATTTGCGCTGTTTTCACTGCCTCAGTATTACCCACTGTACATATGGAGAGTCACCACAAGCTCCAGATGTACATATATAATAATGACACAATGACAACTGTACATTCACATTTCATCATCCTCTGTAAGCTTTGTCAGCCTCAAGGAAAGCTGCAGCTGCATGTATGTGAAGCCTTATGGGCCAGAGAGTTCAGGACAGACAGGGGACCTCCCCAAACACCTGATGGATGGAGGGGGTGACTTGTTTCATCGTTCATATTCTTTGGCTCCAGAGAAGACAGTTACAGCCTCCTCTCTCCCCCTGGATCCCGGCTACAGTATTCACATTATTTTCCTGTATTTCGTGTCATGTGCAAACCTTTTTGACCCACAGTCAAAAGAGCAGCCAAGACCCCTGACGTTTCTCATACTGGAGTTAAAGCTGGGGTATCTGACTTTTTATTCTTCATAAATGCTTCATGTAGTTTTTTCCTCTGGTATTTTGCAGGAGGATCTAAGGACTGTGGTGATGATGAAGGACACTCGACATTCAACAACAATTATGGACATTGGTCATCTGCTCCTTATGGACCAATGGCTCTATGTGTTTTTTAATAATTGCATTTCTTGAGTTTGAACTGTTTGATTTTCTGATCTGTGTTGGTAAATTCAACGGTTTTGTAAAGTCCTCAAAGATAACTACTGTTGTGATTCAGGGCTATACAAATACATTTTGTATAGTTTGTCTTGTAAAAGTAAAAGGTTGTGTAGAAATCAGACCACAACATGATCATCTTATTATGAAGAATGAGCCCTGGGAGTCACTATTTGTCACTTGGCTGAGTAAGGATGGATCACTTTTCTGTTTAGATAAGTTTAACACATCTAACGATGTGACAGAGGCCAAAAATATACGGTAAAGTATTCGCCCCCCTTGAACCTTTCAACATTTTGCCATATTTCAGGCTTCAAACATAAAGATCTAACGTTTTAATTTTTTGTCAAGAATAAACAACAAGTGGGACACAATCGTGAAGTGGAATGAAATTTGTTGGATAATTTAAACTTTTTTAACAAATAAAAAACTGAAAAGTGGAGCGTGCAATATTATTCGGCCCCTTTACTTTCAGTGCAGCAAACTCACTCCAGAAGTTCAGTGAGGATCTTTGAATGATCCAATGTTGTCCTAAATGACTGATGATGATAAATAGAATGCACCTGTGTGTAATCAAGTCTCCGTATAAATGCACCTGCTTTTCAGTTTTTTATTTGTTAAAAAAGTTTAAATTATCCAATACATTTCGTTCCACTTCACGATTGTGTCCCACTTGTTGTTGATTCATGACAAAAAATTAAAATTTTATGTCTTTATGTTTGAAGCCCAAAATGTGGCGAAATGTTGAAAGGTTCAAGGGGGCCGAATACTTTCGCAAGGCACTGTACACTTATTACATATTATATAACAGTCTAAGCACATACAGTATACACAAATGTAAGATACATAAGTGTATTTCCTTATCACAATATAGTATCATGGGCTTTTCTCTTCTTACACAGTCATCGGACAGTGTGTTTCTGTAAAATGAATTAAAATATTCAAATCCACAACACAAACAGGAGGCTTGTTTCGTCTGGCCCCAAAAGAGAAATAAACAGAGACGTCTGAGGGGCAGAGCTGAGGGAAACTTCTGGAGCCAGTCCCACTGAGTTTACTTTGGTGCATGTTTATGCAAAGCCCTTTCATCTCAAGTCCTCATAAAGTGTTGATGATCAGTTCAGATGTTCAAAAAGGATTTCACTTTCTTATTGCCCTCCACATCTATAGAGGTAGAGATAGTGACAACATGGGGCTGTTGTATTATCACTAAAACACTAGTATCAGTAAATATATGTAAGTGAGCATGTTTGTAATGATGTTTTTGTTTAGGTTACTTTTTCACAGACAGAAATCATATGGTGTTTAGCCATCACCAGCCTGATGGATTGATTCAGTGAGACTAACAATAGAGCTGAACATGAAGTGTGATGCAGACAGAGTGAAGTGAAGCTGGGCATTATGGCCGGCTGCATTCTCCCAACGACCTTTCATTTTAGCACAATCAGGAGACACCCTTTCATTGAACTCACCAGCAGCAGCTCCCGAGGTGAGCCCAAAATACATGTACTCTAAAAGCCATCCAGAACCACTCTACTCTGTTTTCAACATCTGCCTGATTATGGCTCTTGAAGCATGGCTGTCACAAGACCGGGCTCCAGCGTCTTTCTGGCCCCAATTAGGCATCTTAGAATAATTAGACTAAACACAGGCTTCACGCTCCCTCCAGCTCATTTATCACGCTCAGCTAAGGCACAGGAAACGCACTGTACGCACAGCCCCACAGGCCCAGCTCAGGCCTCCAGACCAGTGACAAGCCCAACGAGCGGGAGAGCTATGGTTCTGAAGAGCAAACCACCACAGACAGAGAAGCCCAGGGAAAAGAAGAGTGCACTGCAAAAAGTTATGAAGAATGACTCAAAAATTTTCTAATTTGGCAAAATGCATCTTCATTTGAGCACATTGGGACCTCATATTTTGTCATTTTTTGCAGTGTATGACAAGCCCAACAAGCTGGAGATCTATGGTATTAAAGGGCAAACCACCGTCGCCAGAGAAGCCGAAAGGGAAAAGAAGAGAGGCCCCACCGAGACTCGGAGGATGAAGCCGTATGAAACCATATCCTGCTCTGCTGTTGACTTTGGGTTGGAAGCGGTGAGGCTCTAACGCGTACAATGCATGAAGGGATCATGTTCTAAAGTCCCTAGAAGTGCACTTGATCTGAGCTTGGCGTCTAAAGCAGGGGTGCCCAAACTATTGTACTCAGGTGGCCAAAATAAATCTGGAGAAGCCCAGGGTTCAGGCATCAACATCAAACTGTTTTAAGATCGAGGAATGGTATTTTTTGAGGCCGCTTTTATATGACAATATCCATCATCTTCAGTGTACAGAGACTATAAGCTAATAGAGACAGATATGTTTTGCACCAGATTATAGCTAAGCTAGTTTCCATTGGCAGTCCAATATACAATATAAAAGTGCATCCAACTGTTCTCTATAAACATATTTTCCATATTATTATATTATAATTATATTGAAAATTGTGTGTTTTCATTATGTGTCCTTACACTTTATTTATTTTAATTTTTTTGTAATGAATTTTGACAAAAGATTAATGTTATTTACCAGGAGTTGGGTATTCTTTTCTGGTAGATTGCTTTTGAATATATTTAATTAAAAGCCATCCATTCATTCACTCAATATTATACCTATTGTACATGTTTTTAATGGTAGGGGAAACCGGAGCACCCGGAGAGAAATAAGGTCCATGAGCATGCAACATGCTGCATTCTGGCTGTTTGCCTGTTGTGGCCATATGTCAGGCTCGTGCCATCTAATGCATGCGCAAAAGATACAGCGTGAGCTCTGAAAGCAGCTTGTGCCAGCGAACACAATTTTCCTGTGGGACGGGCCACTTTGAAAAGGTCCATGTTGATCGCACATACACATCAACAGAGGAAATAGGCATCACTACGTTCAGAACATGCAAATTCCACACACAGTTTGCATGACTTAAAGGTGGAATCAAACCCAGGACCTCATGGTTTTGAAACCCAAGCTCTAATCGCTGCTCTAATTGTATTTTGGGTTAAATGATTAGAATAAAGGGCATACATTTTTTTCTTGAAAAAAAAACCTTTAAATTGAGGTATAACATGCCACATTAGCACCTTTTACAATCAATGCTCCGAATTTAACAGCAATAATTGAGAATCCTTTGGAGGGGAACGAAAACCCCTGGTCTAAAGAACAAGACCTTATTCTTCTCTTGCAAAGTAGGTAATGTCAGTAATGTTTTTTTTTAACGTGGTTTCAAACTTACCAATAACAATCAGTGTGTAGTTTATATTGACACTGCCAAATCCATTGGTGGCTTTGCAGATGTAGGACCCTGCGTCATCAGCCTCCACCTCCTTGATCTTGAGTCCCATCCGCAGGAAACGAAAGCGGACCCAACCACTATGAATGTTACGGCCGTCTTTGGTCCACATGATGAGGGGAGGGGGGTCGCCTTCAACTGGGCAGTTCAGTTTGATGGCACTTCCCAGACGCGCAGACTGTCGGTGGGTGACTTTAGTCGACACTCGAGGAGGTCCTGAAATACACAAACAACATATATTTGAATCTTTGCATGTTCAATTCCATTTATACTTGCACAACCCTAAATCACAACAGTTGCTATCTTGGAGGACTTGAAAACCGTTAAATTGTCCAAAACAGGTCAGAGAATCAAAGAGTTCAAACACAAGAAATGCAATGATAGAAAACACAAAGAGCCATTGGTCCATTGGGGCAGATGACCAATGTCCTCAAATACTGATATATAATGATAAAGTCCTTAAAAGTTGTTGAATGTTGAGTGTCTTAGATCATCACCACTGTCCTTCGACCCTCTAGCATTGCCATAGAAAAAATCTGATTTAAAAAAGCGAGAAGTATGACTTATGGCCCTTATTATGATTACACCATGCTCAAGAAATTCACACTCCTCGACTCTCCTTGGCAGCTTTCCCAATGACATTCTATTCTAATTCAAACAAGAGCCTAGAGTTGGTCTGGGCAGCGGTAGCTAAAGCCATTTTCATGTGTAAAAAGCAGATTGGTATAATTGGATGCGATCTGTCATCCAGTAGAGTCTGGAAAAGATCAAAGTACGTGGGGGCTGGTGCAAGGTCTCAGATCTGGTGAAGTGGAGCCTGTGATGGTGTTAGGGAGGCCGGCAGCCCACGGAGCACCACAAGCACACGCACAGTCAGCCCAAATATCACTTATCAATGTATGGATCTTGACTAAACACACAAAGAGGTGTAGCTTCATACATTTCAACCACACACATACACTTACATTCATGGACACACTTAGACTTACTTACAGTCACTGACCCCTGCACTAAGCCTGAATCTGCAGAGCTGAAAAATGTTTTCAATGTGTTTTGAATTACAAAGTCAAAGTATCAATCTACATTATCTATTCGCACGCATTATAGTAAGACCTACTGAGTCCCAAATGAAAAAAATCACACGTTTTCTAAAAATGACTTGCATAACAGACATGAATGATTTAAAAAGTGGTTCTGACATTTTAACTTAAAATGAATGTGACTGAATTCGAAACACATTCAGTAAGACAACTTTTTGAGGGCTCCGGACCCAACTTTGGGAAGCACCTGTGTATAGTAAACCCTGCAGTGCGGTGGCTGAGGGGTAGCACAAAATCTGCAGCCTTTCATTTGAGTCTCAACAAAGTGTACAGTATAATATAGTATAACATCAAACAAGCACAAAAAAGTATTTTTAATCTTTTCTTCTCACATTATTTTGACCAATTAGTCATTAAGGGACCCCCACCCCCCCGACCCAGAAATGGATTAAGGGGAAGATGGATGAAAGGATTATTTTGACCAATTAGGTGGTGTAAGTAAGTAAGTAAGTAATGTTCACTTTACAATGTTGAGAGTTCAGAAATTGTTTCATTCTCTCCAAATGGTGATGACGGAAGCAAGACGCCGAACACACTTGTGCATCAAAGCCCCCAACCAACACCATCCATTCACTCACTCATTACATTCATACTTATGTACATGTTGTAGTGGTAGGGGAAACCGGAGCACCAGTAGGAAACCTAGGCAGAAATTAGGAGAAAATGCAAACCCCACACAGAGAGGCCTGGAGGTGGAATCGAACCCAGGACCTTCTTGATAGGTCCAGCTTGTTCTAGTGGCAGTAGAAGGACGGGTCAAATGCAGAAGACTAATTTCTCTAAGGGAACAATAAAGGGGTCTATAACATACTGTGAGGCTCGAGACCAAGCCCTGCTAAAAATGCAATTAATTAATCTAAACAGTCTCAGTGTTTTGTGTACTTTTCACCTCTGTCTACTAATCAAAAAAAAAAAAAGTATTTACTTGTCTGTTTGTTTTATGTTGTGTTCTTGTTGTGTTCTTGTTGAATGTTGATGTGTCTGTTTTGTTTGTCAAAAATAGCTCCCCAAAAGATAATAATAAATGCTAAAGGGGATACAATACTCCAATAAAAACTTTCATAATATATTAAATCTGGTAAACACAACCACTTCGTACGTAAGAAAGTAAGACATCTTTATTTATATGGCGCAGTTCCACTCATATCAGACATTCTTCAGCCCTGGTGTCTCGTTTGTGGTCAAGAATCGTGGAGAGATAGGGTTGTAAACATGTTTTTCATTCTCCAGTAAATTATATCCGGTGGGTAATTTTCTACATTTTTGTAAAAGCTTGGTTGAATTAAGAGGCCGTTTAGGGCGAGTGAGCATTTGGCTGTGATATAACAAGGAGCTGTTTGTGTGAGAAACCAAATGATTTCCTCCTTCATCTCAACTCTGCAGCTTTGAAGTTCTACTAAAAACAAGGTGTGGAGGGGTGCTCTGCTCAAGGCCGCCTTTCTGACCTTGGCACAGAGAAAGAACGTTCATTTGACTCACTTTTTGGTGAAAAAACAAAACAAATACAGTTTAATTATGTAGAACGAACTGATTGAGTGTGGCGTGAACCTCTCTGTCTGTGGTATGTCCTATTGATTAATTATAAAGTTGTGATGGTTATATCGTTATTTTGGTATCAGAAGAAAACTGCCAATTAAAAACAATAATATTTAAGGGCAGAAAGTACACGTTTGGGGGTTATTAAAAGTGCGCAATATGTTGAAAATGTACTTTCTAGCAGCTACTTTTTTAAGATATTTGAACCCTACGGCCTATATAGCAACTTTTATTTTGTTATAGCTCCCCCTGTAGTGCAGGAGGGGATTTGGACACAGCACTGTCATCAGCTGATGATGTAGCACACATTCCTGCTTCCAAGTGGGTTTTTATGTGATCATTTCGGGTCAACAGTACATTAAAACACGTCCCTTTATCAGCATCTATCCGGTATTGGCAGATGTTGGAACTTTGAGTGTATTGAGATCGATGTCGACCGGAATGGCACCTAATGTTGATTTGAGTTGCACTATAAAGTCATTTGTCATATTTGGCATGTATATTCTTATGGTGCTGATTGAAGTTTAGCTTTTACGCATGCTACTCTTTCCTTTAAAAAGTTGGCCATTGCATTTTCTTCCACTTTATACGTTGCTGGGTCGTGAGGGCAGCAGTGTGAGCAGAGACTTCCCTTTTCACACAAATTTCCAGGCCAGCTGAGAGACAGTCCCTCCAACATGTCCTGAGTCTGCCCTTGGTAATCTCCCAGTGGCACATGCACAGAACACCTCGCAGGGGAGGCATCCCAAACAGATGCCTGAGCCACCTCATCTCTTGGTGTGGAGAAACAGCGTCTCTACTTCAAGCTCCTCTTGTGTGACCAAGCTCTGAGGGGGCGCCAAAAAATATGTTTGAACATGCCAAGTTCCTGTCTTCCCTGTGGTGAAGAGTCAACACGGATCTAAACAATAGGCCAACCTTTCCCAGTGGTGCCCCTTTTTGGGGTCAAACAAGGCATTTCAACATGGGTAAAAAAACACAGATCTGCAGCATGAAAAGGAGTAATGACAACAAGTGAATGTCGAACCCCGTCAGAAAAGTTTAACATAGCAGCTTTCATTCACATCGCCACCCAAGTCTGACTGACTCAACATGAATGAAAAGAGCTATGGGTAAGAGCGATTATTTTTGTCTTTTAGTCCATTTATTTTAGTCTTTCATTTAATCAAACACACACCTGATATCTGAAGTTCACACAGCTTTATTCAATTTACAACTCAGCTCTAGTGAAAGTCCTGCATTGTGCCTGAAGGACAAGAATGCCTCTTATTAAACATGCTGCTTTCTCTTAAAATAATCTGTCACGAAAGTTGAGCAAAGAAAAACAGAGCTAATTATGTGAGTGCCTCTTTCTCTTCCTGCCAATGAAAGATTCCATTCACACTCACGCCGAGCTCGGGCCGAGGAGAAGCTGTCGAGCCTGGGCCCGCCGGAAAGCCGTGTGCCTGTGCGCCTGGAGGACTGCTTTCCATTTACAGCCAGGTTCTGCTCTCAGCACTTTGTCAGGCTTTAGGCTGAACATCGTCGATCATGAGTGAAAGTGAAGCATGTCACAGGAGGTGGGGAGGGACATTAACGAACAAAAGTCTCTGTAGTCATTTTGGATTCCTCTGCATAAAACACAATATCACATGTTTGTATCACATCTTCTAACCCAGTAGTAAAGACCTAATGCAATTTCAGAATGTCCACTGAATGTCTAATCTGATCCATTCATTTGCAGAATCTTGATTTTGGAACCAATATAGCGTGTTCTCAAACTGGACAGTGCAAATGTACTCCCAACTCTTTTGAATGCGCTGGAAAACAAAAAAATCTTTTTTATTGCTTTTTTTCTACCTGAAATGTTGCTGCAGTACAGTGTTCATGGTTTTACACTGGTCCAGACCAGAGCAGAGAGGATTCATGGTCCGAACCAAGCGGATCATGTGAAAATCCACTCGAGCAATGCCAACTTTTTGAATAATGCTAATGAAGAATTTAACTTTTTACTTCGGACCAGAGCAGAGAAAATGGTCCGAACACAGTGGCTACTCCACCTTGTGACCTGTCCTGCTCCACCCAGAGGCTACTCCATCTCTGCTGCTGTGACCTGTCCTGCTCCACCCAGAGGCTACTCCATCTCTGCTGCTGTGACCTGTCCTGCTCCACCCAGAGGCTACTGCATGTCTGCTGCTGTGACCTGTTCTGCTCCACCCAGAGGCTACTCCATCTCTGCTGCTGTAACCCACCCTGCTCCACCCAGAGGCTACTCCATCTCTGCTGCTGTGACCTGTCCTGCTCCACCCAGAGGCTACTGCATGTCTGCTGCTGTGACCCGTCCTGCTCCACCCAGAGGCTACTCCATCTCTGCTGCTGTAACCCACCCTGCTCCACCCAGAGGCTACTCCATCTCTGCTGCTGTGACCTGTCCTGCTCCACCCAGAGGCTACTGCATGTCTGCTGCTGTGACCCGTCCTGCTCCACCCAGAGGCTACTCCATCTCTGCTGCTGGACCTGAAGGGCTGTTGCTAATTATTACAATTGCAGCTTTTTAGAACGATCAATTTTATTTTCTCTCCCCCCTTGGACTGCCACCTT